AGGAAGATGATGAAGCTCAGCCCAGTGTCAGAGCTAGATGCACCCAAGGCAATTCCATCGGCGGCAGCATGAATGACAAGTCCAGTTGTCGTTGCAAAGCTGTGGCTTCTCCTGGGGATATTACCGGCGTCAAGCAAGCCCCCCTCGCGTGACGGCGACGAATTACGCCGCAGGCCGGAACCCAAATTATCCAGAGAAATGTGATAGGGAATTCGCTCCTGTTTGGAGGATGACGCAAAGACGGGTAGTTTGTCGATGAGGTACATCAGTATGAAGCCACTAATGAGTGCAATCCCTATCCAAGCGTGGGGCGAGTTATCTTCATCGTGATCCTCGCCTGTGTGATCGTCCGATGTATCGTCCTTGCGCCCCATAATTCTGGGCCTTTCATCTAGTGTAGAATGGGTTGTAGGTACCGTGACAGGCGCGGATGGCAGATCGGATAGCACCGATCGAGGCGTAAATTCGACATTTGAGGAATCTAGTCCTTCCAATGTTCTCGGGAATTTGGTCACAGGTACAGCCTGGTGTTGCCAATTGACGGCTGTCGTCGATCGGCTGCTAAGTTCTTTCCGACTGCTAAGGGAGTTTGCGCTGTATAGAGTTTCGACCCCCTCCGGAATAATCACGATCAAAGATGTCCCAACCAGAACTCCCATACCAAGGGAGGATATCAATCTCAGCTGAGAAGGAGAAAGTGTGAAGGCGAGCGGTAGTGATCCCACGACAAATGATCTATGTGACGCAGCGGGGAAAAGCAAATTAGCATTGACAGTTCGCACCGAGCAGGCGACAAGTTCCAAGGGGTAGTCGACTCACGTAATGGCCATCACAATGCTCAATGCGAGCAAAGTGAAGAGTCCCTCCATGATCGGCCTCTTGTTCCAGAGCTTCGTCCGTGCTCTAGAAGGTTTCACTCATGTTGCCAATTCCAAGACCAAGATTCTCGATATACCCCTGATCCCGCGGCAGCGGTGATGTCGTCTAAATAGAAAAGCGAACAAGCGAGCTGGAGGACGAAAATAGGCCCGGAGAAGCAAGTGAGACAGGGGAGACGATGGAGAGCGGGCGGAAAGCAGGTGTTCCAAGGCGGTAGGAGGCAGAAGAACTGAAAACGTGGCGGAGGTGGACGGCCCTGATTATGGATTGATTGCGGTTTGCCGCAGTGGGAAAGGCACGCCCCAGTCCGAGGCACGGGAGACCCACTGCCGCCCCAGGGATGGTTTATAATTATCTCTTCGGCTTCATGTTCTTCTTCGACTTACAATGTATGGGGTAAACACATGAAAGGATATTGTGAATTTGCTCAATCCACCTATGAGTACATGTTGATGGCTCTCAAAAATCGGTGAACAATTATAATCAGCCAGCCGTCTGGGAGTTTTTACAGGCCGCAATATCCAAGCTTCCGCGGGCATCAGTTCCGGAAGGGTTATCATGCCTGTTCTCCTCATACTTCTGGTCCATGGCGGCTGTAATCCTTCAGTTGAATCCCAATGATATCCTTCAGTCGTGCTTCTTTCATCTGGATTTGTTCCGCAGACACCGTTCCATAGGCTTCGTTCACTTGCGCAATGACCTTTTCCTTCCACTCCGTTCTTTCGTCGCCCTCCACGTTGATTCTCCCCTGCCCGTCCCAGATGGTTTGCATAGTGCCACCAAGCTTGTTCAAGAAGGAACTTATGCCCCCTTCTCCCCCGCCATACTGATAGCTCTCAAACACACCGTTTCCAGCCCATCTTGGTCCCAAACTGGCCATCAGTATTGTGTCCAGGTCCTTTGCATCTACGACATCTTCCTGAACCAGATAGCAAGCTTCCCGTAGTAGGGCGAAGGCTAACCGATTGCCCACAAATCCTGGAATTTCCTTTCGAATGAGCACGGGCCTATGTCTCGACCCAGGTAGAGAGAAGTATTCACGAGCAAATTCCACCCGCTCAGCGAAAGTTTCTGGAGCCGGTACGATTTCGAGAAGAGGCATTATATTCGGTGGATTGAAAGGATGCACAACAAGCAAGCGAGATTTGTCCTGCATCTTGGCTTGCTGAATAGAAGCAGCAATTCCAGAAGTGCTTGTCCAGAAATGCGCAGAAGACGGGGCTACTGCTTCGATCCGGGCCCAGGTAGTTTGTTTCCAGTCAACATTTTCCGGTCCTTGCTCCTGGACAATGGTCGCCGACGCACATGCGCTTTCCAGGGTCGAGTGAATTCGCAGACGGCCAAAAGAGACAAGAGACGCTACCAATGACGTTGATGGTTGAGATTCAGGACTTGACCTAGGGTCGGTCTTTGTTGATGGCAGCTTGCTCATGTAGATCGGTAGCGTCTTATGGATATATTCCTCGAAATCCGGTCTGGTGTCGAAGACATCAACTATGTTGCTCTCACGGGAGAGATGAAGCGCTGCCATGGATATGCCGATGGTTCCCAGACCGATCAAGGCTATCCGCTGTGAGCTGTACACTGACATGTTGATAGTGCCAAGGATATGAATGACCTTGTTGGAGCCGTGGATTTGCGTTTAGATGGTTGTGTAGAGAGCCAATGGTATCAACTGGGCAAGTTGTATGACAGTCTGGGGTTTATGTTTATCGCAGCAGCAGTGGCTCTCAATTGCGGGGTGCCACACATGTCTTGCCCCGCCATTGTAGTTCTTAAGAACAGAACCACTACTAACAAATCAATGAGTCGTCTAGTCTTGGGTCGGGGACCTGGAGCCGAGGCACCGCACCTGATTTTCGGACCACCGATACTCTACATCTTAGAGTACAGAGTCTTGACTTCGTGCTCAAATGAATCTAAATTTCGAATTAGTTCTTGGTGATTCATGTATGCGAGGTTAGTAGGTTAGTCTCTACGTCGACGTCATATGAGGTTGCCAGTTTGAAGGTACTCTGTCGCAGCCATTCACAGGAGGCCGGCACAACTACTGTGCAAATGATTCTGATGGTGAAAATAAAGTGTCTCGACACACCCTTGGTAAGATTTTTGGAAAGTCAAAAATACATACAGAGCTCTTTCTTGTGTATCCTCTCTTCTACACACTATTTCTTGACTTACAGACTGCGGAGGATTCCTACCGGCGCTAAACCGAAAACGGTTATAGCTAGCTAGCTCCGCGCAACGCGAGATTCGAAAGAGCAACACGCGCCATCTTCCAGGCAATCAATTAAAGCTCCTGCGCTCTCTCACTCAATCATCTCGAACCCAAATCTCCACTATAGTAGCTGGCTATCTATTCGGCAACGGGCACAATGAGTGAAGGCGACTGTAATTATCACCCTTTCGCACTCCATTGTCCTCATATTCCATGTTGCGAGTCGGCTGACTGAATTGGCCTCATTTAGGGACTTGCGATGCCAACGACGCCGTCCATCTGACCATCGTCCAACCCGGCGAGACGAAAGCCAAAACGATTTCCAGCTTTCACCCTCAGTTCACATATCCCATCTTCGGCGACGAGGAGCAAATATTCGGCTACAAGGGGTTGATCATCCGCTTGCGGTTTGCAGCCCATGACCTCCGCCCGAATATCAATATCTCTTACGATGAGAAGTTCAAGCCCGTTGGCGATATTGCCGCTGTCGACCTGCTGAAAACATTGAAACCATGGGTTCCTGAAGGTTGGCCGCTGTCTATTTCAGATAAGGGTGATCTGTGTGCCACTTTAACTAACTTGGGCGCATAATTGCAGAGGCCTTCGGTTCACTTCCCGACTATGAAAAGGCTGTCCAGGAGGACGAAGATGCAAAGGACTTCGTACCACCTGGCAAGCTTGTTCACAGCTATGTCACCCGAGACAGGAATTACGAAATTTGGGCCGGCTCTCTCGCTGATCCTCAAGTTCGACGACTACTGGACCGCGCGCAAATTTTTGTATCGCTGTTCATCGAAGCCGGTACACCTCTGGTCACGGATGATCCTGAATGGACACTTGAGAGATGGACAGTCTACTTTGTGTATGCTATCATCCCGTCCTATGTTCTATCCCTTGCTAACGAAGTTGAAGCTATGAAAAAGTGAAACCGCCCACGCCAACAGCCTCCCAGTATTCCATTGTCGGATATGCGACCACTTATCGCTGGTGGTTTTACCAGCGAGACACTACACAGGGTCGCACCGTCGTGAACGATCCATTCCCAGCACCCGAGATCAGACCTGCTCAGCTGCCGGCTCGGCTGCGAATCGCTCAATTCTTGGTTCTGCCTCCTCACCAAGGCTCGGGACATGGGACTCATCTCTACACCACCATCCACGCCGCATGCTTCAAGGACCCAACAATCACGGAGTTGACTGTCGAAGACCCAAACGAGGCTTTCGATGCCCTCCGCGACACTGCCGACTACCACATCTTGTTGCCGGAGTTCCTCGGGCACAAGGTAGACATCAATCCCAACCCTTATGGAGAGCTCCCCAAGAAGCAGCGCCCTCGGCGCGTCCCAACGTCGGCACTGATCCCTACGAAGTTGTTGCATGACATCCGTTCAAAATTCAAGATTGCCTCCACTCAATTTGCTCATATCATGGAGATGTACCTTCTGGGGCAAATACCTGCCAAGAATCGTCTAGCCGGGGGAGCCAATATGTCCCGACTACTAATCAAGAAGCACAATGCCGAGGATCCCAACGACCGCCGATACTACTGGTGGCGCATGCTCACTAAGCAGCGTCTCTACAAGCGCCATCGGGATCTACTCATCCAACTGGACTCGAGCGAGCGCGTCGAGAAGCTGGAGGAGACCGTGACGAACGTCGAGGAGGGCTACGATGCCCTTCTCAAGGCCTTCAACGCCCGCGAGGAAGCACTGAAGGCCAAAGAAGAGGAGTCCGGTGTGCTTGCAACCCCAGAGTCGACCGCCGTCCTAGGCGAGGCAAGCGGCAGAGATCAGCGGGTAAAGCGGAAGCTCACGGTGGAAGATGAAGAAGATGAAGCCGAGAACGAAGAAGCAGCCAAGCGGACAAAGGTGTGAGCGATGCGTCTAATGTTTCTATATGCATGCCGTTCACCCACCATTTCATTGTAATATTAAACATTATGAAATACCAAAACCACCCTTTTGCCATGAGCCATAACCATATCCTGAACTCCCATACTCCATGATTAGTATTATTACACATGAAGCCATAGTCCCTCATGAATGATAGCTGGGCGGCGGCGACCCCATACTATCCAGGGTATCTATTGTCCCCGACAACGACTTACAATCCACACTCTTCAAGCTACTCGTCCCCGTCGACAAAGTAACCGTCGCCAACCCGACCGTTGACGACGCCTCCGTATCCGACTCCTCTCCACTTCCACCCTTCCCATACACACCCACATCCACATCATAACCACCCACTTCCTGATCCACTGCCACCTTGGCCCGCGGCGGTGCACTTTCCCTCACCAATTCTCCCACATACTCCAACGCCTGTCTGAAACCATGTATTTCCGCCTGCATAGTAACAGGAAGAGGAGCATCCGCCACAGCAAACACACCCTCACCCTCATCATCAGACAACCTTCCCATCTCCACATCCCTTTCCCGCACACGAACAGACCCCATCACAACCGCCCCATCATCATAGCTAAACCCCCGATCCTGGCACTGATACTGATAGTAAGAGGTCTTACCCTCCCACCATTGCTTCCATCGATGTCTCCTCGCAGCGGCTTTGTACGCCCTCCGAGCTTTCCGTTCCTCGCGCTGAGCGGCCCGGTCTACTCGGCATCGCTGGCAGCGCATCGTGTTGCTGCCGATTTGGTATGCCAAAGCGAAAAGCGCAATGATGCAGATGAGGACGCTCAGGTTGATGAAGTAGTCGCGGAGAGTGAGGGCCGAGAGCTTTTTCAGGAGGGAGGCGAGCCACTGGAATTTGAGGAGGGTGTGGATGTGGTCATTGTGATTGGGGTTGTCGTTGTTGGTGTTCTTCATGATGTGGGTGTCTATAAGGGTTGTTTAGAATGTGGGATATGGAGATAGTGAGTGGGGGACTAACTGGCTGTTGTTGGGATGATTGTAGTGGATGATGGTGATGGTAGAGGAATGGGTGCACCGGCTGCCAGGTGGGTGAAGTTGGTGGTGGAGGTGAGACATATTAGTGTTAACTTTGTTAGTAGCCATTGCATGGTGGTGGTTGTGTGGGAGGTGCTACATGGACGGGGGAAGAGAGACATGGGATGGAGGGTATTATAGGTTCATGTAGTTGGTGCAGTTGGGTAAATTGTAGAGAGTGAGACAGTGGTCATGTAGTAATAGATTGGTAAATAGATACAGACGATGTTGTATTCATGAGCAAACTACCTAGGACAGAGAGTGAGAGTCATACGGGCTTTAGGACAGAGTTAAATGAATGGACATCCTTGGCCCTCGGGCCTCCTCTCCCAAGACCGGAGACAGACGGAGTTTACTAAAGAACCCTGTCTCATTAATTAGTGAGTATTATAGCCAGACACTAACCACAGTCACAACTCTAAAGTAGGGCACGTTACTTTGCTCTTACTGGTGCCAATCCAGATAAGCAGCAGCGCCGGGCGGATCTCGGCGTCATGTTTATCCGGCACTCTCCGTCGTTGCGAGCATCGCTGCTGGGAAGCTCGCGGGGAGCTTTCTTGGATTCATATTTACTCTGACGTCGTCAAGAAGGCTTCTATTCTTCTTTGAACATCCTCTTTCTGTTTGGGAGAATACGGCGACTCTATTAGAGTGCTTTTATCCTTTGCTTATCACCTCTCACGGAGTTGATTCCATCTGTGTTTCGATCCGCCCACAACGTCGATCCGCCATATTGATCACAAGATCGCAAGATGGTAATCACCTCTGAAGCCTACCAAAATCCATTTTATCTGCTGCGGTTACTGACTTCCCATGGACAGTTACCTCTCGGTCTCCTGACGGCCGCGCAAGGCCACCCCATGCTCGTGGAACTTAAGAACGGCGAAACCCTCAACGGACACCTTGCCAATTGCGACAACTGGATGAACTTGATACTTAAGGAAGTTGTTCAGACGAGCCCCGAAGGTGATCGCTTCTTCCGGCTACCAGAGGTCTATGTCAGAGGAAACAATGTGAGTTGCATTTCTGCGTCCACCCTGAATCGTATCCAATGTCGCCCCTCTGTTCCTTCCCCTAATCGCTTGTAGATCAAATACCTGCGAATCCCCGAAGAAATCATAGAGATGGTGAAGGAGCAACAGGCGAACCAATCGCAAAATCGCAACCGCGGGCCGCGTGAGGGTGGTCGGGGTGACCGAGGTCGTGGTGGAGGCCGGGGTCGTGGACGTGGCCGCGGCCGTGGTGGCAGAGACGCTTGAAGTGTTATTGGTTTTCTATCTACGAAAGAATGAGAGAGATTATGAGCGATACCCCGGGGGGCAAGGTTTAGTAGGGATTGAGTTCGCTAGGAAATGTCCGTTTTGACGGGTTAGTCGAGCATGGCCTTGGCGTATCTGGTTGTATTTGTCAATGGGAAAACATGCCACCTAGGCGTCCTTCTTTCTTCCAATATAATTGTAGTGTACGGATTACACAAAAAAGTCAAAATTCGTTGAGCCTTGTCCGTGGGCTTCGTCTCTGTAACTTTGCATGCATAGCGTCACGGTCACGTGCAGATATAGAGCTTCTTTCGGAGACCGACCAAGTTGTAGAGAATCTTCCGTCATTGCAAGGGCTCGAGATGCCGCGAACGACCCTGGTACTCGATGGACTGTGGTATTGCCTTTGTCCGTCGTTTAACGCTGCGACCTTCAATCGAGCTACACCTTCCTTTACAGCAGGGAGACGCATCCCTAAACAAAATCGCATAACCGCTCTACGAAGCTCAATCTCGGATTCTCCGCGAAGATGCCTCACAAACCTTACCCCACGACCGACGGACGCAACCATTGAAATCGTCGAAGACAATAGCCACAATACTACGAATTCTTCATCACCCTCCGATCAACAACCCTTCGATCCTGACGATGCAGGCGCGCAAGACAATGTACGCCCAGGGGACCTTTTATCGCCAATGGAGCGATTGACCAAGCCGCCACCGGGCGTACCCAAGTACTTCAAACACCTACCTTCACAACGTCTAGAGAACAGATTACAGGAGCGAGTAGCTCGATATCCGAGAGTTTTGAGCGCTACGCAAATCCTGCGTGTTCTAATCCGGGACCGCCATGTCCGCCCGGAAATGCGACATTACCGGGGGTTGATTCTCGCCAATTCGGATCCCGAGCGTGGGTCGCCACAGGCTGTTCGCGCTTTGCTAAAGGAGATGGAGGAGAATGGGATACCGGCTGATTCGGGGACACTTCATGCAGCGCTACAGGTATGATCTTCGAGTCTGGGAAAGAGGCACTTGCTGACGTGCTCGCTTTTACTCTCAGGTCCTTGCGGTTCATCCGGATTACCTCCTACGTCAGGAGATTGTGCGCACGCTTCGAGACCGATGGCTTCCGTTGAGCCCCGCCGGATGGCACTTTGTGGTCGCTGGGTTGATTCGAGAGCACCAGTTTGAGCTGGCGTTGGATCATGTCGAGCAGATGGAGAGGAAGGGTATGGTCGTTGAGAATTGGCTGCATAGCCTACTTATCTATTACCTTTGCGATTTTGGAGAGTTCGACGAGGTGGTCCGGTTGATGCGCTCACGGACGAGCCAGGGCTTGGACATGAGCTCGGAGTTGTGGTTGTACGTGCTAGAGGTGGCGAGCGCTGCTCTGCACTACGATACTACTCGGTACATCTGGAGACAGATGGTGGAGCTGAGATATCTTCATCCTGGTCATCCGCTGTGCAGCAATGTCCTTGGTGTGGCGGCGCGCGCTGGAGATACCGAGCTGGCGGCATCGGTGATCCGCTTCCTCGTCGAGGTCAATGTGCAGCCCCAATTGGATGACTACGAGAAAATGGTGGAGGCCCATGCTGTGTCGGGGTCTTTGTATTCTGCATTTGAGGTGCTGTGTAAGATGCATATGGCGGACATTGCGGTAGAGCAGCGCTCCACGCGTGCCATTCTTACGCATCTGCTGCAGAGTAGGACGACCCCACGGGGCGCATGGACGATGCTGAAGCAATTGAAGGCCACCAAACTGACAGTGCCGCTTGGCTGCGCCAAAGTGGTGTTGGAGATGTGCGAGTACGAAGCCCTCGATAACCCGTCGGTGGTGTACGAGGGAATCGCGTTCTACAAAGAACTATATGCGCTCTGTCCAGACAAGGCCGACGTTACTATCTACAACATTCTCCTAGGAATGTGTCGACGGGCGCGCAATACCGAGGCGGGCATGTTTATCGCGAAAGAGATGGCATCGCTCGGCGTGATCCCGGACCAAGGAACATTTGAGCATCTCATCGTCATGTGTCTGGAAGCAGGCAATTTCGAGTCCGGGTACATGTACCTGCAAGATCTGCTGGGACGGGGGATCCGCCCCGGCGAGGAGACACGAGCTGCCATCCGGGAGCTCTGTTCTCCATCAGAAGATCCATTTGCGTCACGCCTCAGGCATCATCCGCAGATCCAGGATGGGTCGGTGGGATGTCTGGTGGACGAGATCAGTAATACTCACGAGCCGCCCGATTCGACGGAGCAGCAGGAAGAGGAGGGGAACGGGAAAGAGGAGTCGTTTCATCGCTCGGGACAGACACCGACCCAGGCAGAGGTGGAACGGCAGGCGTTGCATAAACTCCGACGGGCCGCAGCCAAGGAGAGACGCAAGCGAAAGAGACGACTAGCAGCCATCGCACAGGGGCAAGAAGAGGAAGGCTGGTTGGACTATGAGCCAGGGGGGCTTATTCCTGAGGACCAGCTTGATGCGAAGAGTAACAATTGAGCTGGGGGATAGAAATGGGCAGCTGGAAAGGGGGTGGTGTGTATCCTCCCTTCGTGTATACTATTACTGTATCTAGTGTAGAATCTTGGCCCCTATGCCAACAACCTAAGCGATGTATTTAATTTCACAAGACACAAGCTGACAGGCATCAATTGAGCTACCTGTCAGGAGAAACACATGTCCGTGATTACTTGTCAGACTGATGCCCGTGCCATTATGTAGTAATCAAATCACCACAAACGTGCACTGTTTCTGCCCGGAACATTCGGAGAAAAAGGAATGGAGTGGGTGGGGGGACAAGCAGCAGCCGAGGCCAGGAAGGATTCAAGCGACAGGAACCATCATGCAGCCAGCAGAGTCGGGGGATAAGAATCAACCCGCAAAACTCAGATACTGCGTACTAACCCCTGCTCTATGTATAGTTTAGATTTTTAGTTCTTGGTTAGTGTGGACTAGGAACCCCCATCTGCGACACGCGGGCGCAACATAATGGAACCATGCCAGGAACCTCAAACCGCCGTTAGATTTCAATGCCCGGATTTTCAGCCCTGACCAGCGGTTTGAACTGGAGAAAAAAAAAACCGGCATGGTTGTTTTTTGTCCCACTTGTCGGAGAAATTTGAGGTTTAATTTGTTTTGGGTGTGGGATATCGCCGAGGGAAGGTTCAGGTTACTCCTGAACTAGATTAACTGTTGGTTCCTGGTTTGTTTGCTGTTGTACTGTGGGAGCCTGGGAGGGTTTCTATTCTTATCCGGGCTGCATGAGATTGGGATCGACTTGCATGGACCCTAGGAACTAACAGTACAGTAGTTTGGGATGTAAGGGAATGGATGTATGCATGAGTTGTCAATTGATTCCATCGTAGAAGTTCTTTCTGATCATCGGCCAGCACAGACAGCTTTTCTTTTCTAATCTTCCTCGTGTAACCATGCAAATCCACGACAAACCTAGTTAACCTCTTCATAACTTTTCTTGGTCAAAGGGATAATCATATGGAGAACAAGAGACACACCAACACACACCGATCCTTTTTTAGTTCAAGGGATCGTCGCAGTTGGGCCAATGCTGGTTCGTTTCACCCGCAGCTCCACTTCTTCTTCCTCTCTCACTCCTCTTCTCTCTCTCTCTTACTCTCTGTTGGGGTCGAAACTAGAAGCAGTTCGGAGTTGCGCTTGTTTCTGGTTCCCCTCGCCACCTGCACATCATCCCCGGCTTATTATAATTATTCGCCTCTGTCCTGCCCTCTTTCTCACTACGATCTACTATCTATCTACTATCTATCTACTATCTATCTACTATCTATCTACTATCTATCTACTATCTACTTTCCTCCCTTTTTATACAAAAGTATTGTATCCTTCATATCACCTATTGATAATACTTAATTTCCTCACTCTTATCTACTATCTCAAGTACCAACTATCGTTCCACCCTCCAACGGTAGACATACATACATACACATCCTCCATTCGCCACTCGGATACTATACATCAAAATTTATTATTACCTTCACCACCTAAACAAAAGAAAACTACCACACAATCAACATGCACCTCTTCAACTACCTCCCCGTCGCTCTCACCACCCTCGGCCTCACAGCCTCGGCCTCTCCTCTCCGCCGTGCCGACAGCCCAGCCCTAACCTGGCACGTCTCCAACTTCACCACCGGCTGCTCCCCGGCCGCCTGCACCTACAGCTTCAACATCTACGGCGTCGCCACGGCCAACACCCCCGGTTTCAACGCCACATGCACTGGTAACTCCAACAACACTGCCCTGACTGCCTGTGGTGGCAACCCTCAGGTCCAGTCCCGCATCCAGCCCGCTACCTACCCGGAATGGAACATCCGAGTCGAGCATGCCTGGACTCTGCCCGGCGACATGGAATTCTATGCTTATGGCGAGACCAATGTTACCTCGCCGACGCCGAAGTTCACCATTCCTGTCACGGAGGAATATGGTGTTGCTTAAATGCGCCTATAGTGGAATTGATAGAAAAGGGGGTGGGAAAGTCAAATGACTTGAGGTCATGACATGGGTTACTACAGTATAGATGGTGAAGGGCGGAATGAGGTCAAATTACTGGAAATATTTGCGGTTTTAGTTATGTATCATATTGATATGGATTTGTTGGGCTGGTTCTTCATGACTGTTTACAGTTTGGTTTTCGTTGGGTTTATGATGAGAATAGGGTTGAGGATCTATAATGTCTGGTTACAGGATGGTCTGGTCATGATGATTGATTGATTGATTGATCTGGGTAAATATATCAATTAGTATAGTCGGAATCTACAAATATACCAATATACCAACACCAATATACATCACAAGTTTACTTACTATGTTCCTTGACACAAGATACTAGTTGTAGTCTGGGAGATGAAATGATGGGGTTGGAATGTGTCCCGGTGACATCATCCCGACCCTTGCAAATCAATGAATGGTCTTCTTACAATGTTTTCCCCCGACAAGCTTGATCATGTAGCAGCTGCACTGCCTCTCTCCCCTGTCAATCACCCTCATGCTTGGCCTATCTCATCCTATGACAATTACATGGAATATATAACCTTGCACAGGTCTTTCCAGTCTAGCTGGACCATCCATTTTCCAAGAGAATCGCCAGGTTGACCCGTGCGTCATTCGCCTGGCCACCCTGTCTCCGCCACGATCCCCTCACGATTCAGGTCTGTCTTTCTCCCCCTTGCATGTTCCTGAATATCCCCTGATCAGTTCGAGTAGAAATTCCACGTCGCTTGATCTTATGGTAAGCACTACTATTCTCCAGCCGCTTCCTGATCCTCATTAGTAGCTGACCATGTAATGACTGGAGCTACGTAGGCGTCGATCCTCCGGCAAATCGTTGCCGGTCCCCGGTTACAACATCCTGAAGCTGGTCTAGACTTGTGCTATGTGACTGATAACAGTAAGCCACCAACCCTATCATTCTTCCTAACTACTACTAACTCATTCCCTGCTCCTGCGCACTTTCAGTCATCGCAACCTCCGGTCCCTCTTCTAACTACCCGCAACGCGCCTACAGAAACCCCTTGGACGAGCTCGTCAAGTTCCTCGACTCGAAACATGACTCCGACTGGTGTATCTGGGAGTTTCGCGCTGAAGGCACCGGCTATCCCGACTCAGAGGTCTACAATCGCATCCATCATTACCCATGGCCCGATCACCATCCGCCCCCGTTTGCGCTCATTCCCGCCATGACGGGCAGTATGCGTAACTGGATCCATCGGCTCGATGAGCCTGACACAAAAGACGAGAAGGCTAAGAAGAAAGACAGAGTTGCTGTCGTTCATTGCAAGGCCGGAAAAGGCCGCAGCGGTACGGTGGCCTGCAGCTACTTGATTAGCCAGGAAGGGTGGAAGGCAGACGATGCACTGCAGCGATTTACCGAGCGGCGAATGCGAGTCGGGTTCGGGGCTGGGGTGAGCATCCCAAGTCAGCTGCGGTGGGTGGGATACGTGGATCAATGGACGAACCAGATGGGAAAGAAGTATATCGAGCGGCCGGTGGAGATCCTCGAGGTGCATGTGTGGGGACTGAGAGATGGCGTCAAGGTCGCGGTAGAGGGGTTTGAGGACCAGGGGAAGAAGATCAAGAAGTATCATCTGTTCCATCGGAGTGAACGTACGGTGGTCGATGATGGGAAATCGAAGACGATGCCCTTAGACCCAGTCCCAAACGGACATGCCGATAACAACAACAAGAAACAACCTCAATCCGCTACGACATTTCCACCCAGAACAGAGGACAGCCCTCACCCATCCACCGATTCACCCGCCAGAACAGACACTCCCCCGAAACACCTCTCCGCCATCGTCTTCCGTCCCAAGTCCCCAATCAGCATCCCCACCTCCGACGTAAACATCGACTTCGAACGACGCAGCAAGGCCGCCTACACCGGCTGGGCCATGGTAACGTCCATCGCGCACGTCTGGTTCAACGCCTACTTCGAAGGCGGCGACCAACACGATTCCGGCGTCTTCGAAGCGGAATGGGAGGCCCTCGACGGCATCAAAGGCACAACACGCAAGGGCGTCAAAGCCTTAGACCGACTGAAAGTCGTCTGGCGATACGCCAACCAACCAGGCACCTCCCACCCCGACACAGGAAGACCCATCTCCGAGCCCAAGCCCGGTGAACCAATTCCCGAAACTCAGCCACCGGACTGGCACATTCATGGCACTGGCTCCAACTCTGGTACCAACTCTCCACGAGACCAGGACGACGAGAACACACCTCCCCCTCCTCCATCTAAAGAGCTGGAAGCCGACAAGGACCCCGAATCGGAACAAGACAGCAGCTCAGCCAAACATAAACATAAAGACAAACATACTACTAACGAGCATGACCACCCCATCCTCTCAGACCTCAGCACCGCTGCCGCCTCCGCCGTATCTTCAATACCAGGACTAGGCAAGCAGCTAGGTCTGCGCAAGCAAACCGACGAAAGCAAAGACGTGAGTCTTGCGGGCAGTAGCGAGGACGAGTCGGGGAGAAGTTCAGCTGCGCCTTCGCAGGCGAAGAAAGATACGAAGAAAGAGTGGTCGTCTGTTGACGAGGGTAAATAGCACCGTTAATCTATTGGGGGATATGATTCCAATGTATATGAAGCAATCCTCTGATCTGTATCCACTGTTATATGTATAGGAGGGAGAGTTGATTGGATTGGACTGGTCTAGGCCAGGATGTTTTGTATATACTACATAGTACACGATACAGGTATACGGTTACAAATGTACAGACTGCGAATAACCAGGTAATTCCCCCCAATGGGTGCGTGTATCTGCGTGCTTGATAATGTGTAGGTTTTAATCCTAAGAACCCCTACGAGAATATACTAGTTTTATGGAGAACTTGGAAATGATAAACAATACTAATCACCGATAACGAAACGATGCAAATTTAGACTAAGGAAATGAAAGGGCTCAAGCATATACCCTTACATATCGAGGTTATCATATCATGTCACACCATACTAGCATATCTAAAAGTAGATTATCTACACACACATACACACAATGTCTTACTTTGAACTTGCTAGTAGTAAAAGAAATGAAAATAAAAAAAAGGAAGTGAAGACCCGCAAACCTCATTTCAACTCCAAATCTCCTCAATACAAACACACACAACTCCACAGAATATGCCAAACATGCAAATGTGTCAACAAAGTTGATTCAATCCTACAGCGGCACAAACCCCTCCATCCGCTGCCTCGATTCCCGTTCCTCACGCTGTAACCGATCATTCTTCTTCCGCTCGTATACGGCCCGCACCACACGCTTCACTTGATCCTCACCCTGGGCGAAGTTCGCCTTCGCAAGACCGACCACTGAGTCGATTTGTTCCGGCGTGTAGACGAAGTTCCACGTGGAGAGGAAGTCGTCGAGGTCTGGGTTGATGGTGCCCGGGTATGGAGTCAGAGGCTTAGCCGGGTCGGAGACGCGGGCTTTGGAAGTGTTTTCGGATTTGCGGGCAGGAGTGCGGGACTTGTGAAGGGAGGAGCTGGTGGGCAGCTCTGGGGCGGATGGGTTGGGGAGTAAGGGGAAGTAGACGACAGCGATGCCTGCGTCTGGGCGCATGAGGTGGAAGTCGGATTCGGAGTGATCGGTGTCTTGTGGGTGGAAGAGGCGCTTGGATGGTGGGGGTTCTTGGCCCGACACCATTTCTTGGGTGGTGCCTACCCAGATGTTGCAGTAGTCGAGGTCGGTGGAGGCGGAGGGATGGTTTTTCTTTTTATTTTGTGCACTTGTGGGTGGGGTGGTGGTTGTGTTGTTTGAGGTAGTATTTTGGTTGGTGGTAGGGCTGTTGGGTTTGCTCTTGTCCTGGGCTTCGGCCATCTTGTTGGCTAGCTCTTTCTGGGAGATGTTCTGGGCCTGACGGAGCGTTTCTTCGGTTTGTTTGAGTTGCTCGTCTTCCCTGGGCCAGCCGGCGCCTATTGGCCAGCCCTTGACACCTCGTTGTCGAGCATATCCATCTACAACAGAGAGCCAGTTCTCTTGTTTGATATCGGCTGATGCGTCGAAGGCGATGATGACGTCAACGTCTCTGCCAGGTCTGAGGAGCGGGTAGATGGGGAGGTTGTTGCTCATGCCTGCGTCCATGAGCCGGAGATGACGGCTTCGGAAGATGGACTCTGGACAGGATGGTGGCAGCTGATCTTTCATGCCGAGTACGTAGTTTGGTATGGTGGCTGGGTCAATCGGGTGAACTCGTACTAGATCCTTCGTCTTGCCTTGGATGAGGGAGTCTATGCCGCTCAGGCCTGTGATGCCTTTGATAACGGGCCGTATCTCCTTGTAATAATGAGACAGTGTAGCACAGAAAGCACTTCCCCAGACACCCATCAATGCGGGAACGCGCAGCTCAGGGATGGGGGAGATCTCTTCAGGTTTAACATTGACTCCACCGTGGAAGTGTCTTCCCAGCGCCCATGTTGGTATTCCTGCACTGAGCTCCTCGCAGAAGAATTCGTAGGGTGTAAACTCAAACCACTGAAACCATGCCTCGCTTTTCGACTCTTTAATCAAATCTTCTGGCTTCTCTCGTTTCTCGGGGTTCTCTTGGTTCTCGAGCACAGGAATCTCATGGCGGACAGCCGTATAGATGGGAAGTGGATGAGCTCCGGAGGCGAGGTTGTATCTCTGGTTCGATAGCTTCAAATCCCTATCACAGACGCCTAATTCTCCCTTGGGAACCAGCAACCGCGCAGCCAAGAGCATGCCGTATATATCCACCAAGCCAAAATCGGCACCGGGATCACCTTTCAGCTTTTCGACCAAGCCGCTGAGAAGATACTTGTTTGTGGGAGCATTGGTGAGTAGCTTGAGGGCTGCCGGTGGAAAGGCCAAATGGACTCCCAGTCTGTTTTTCAGATGGTCGACCATTTTGTTGAAATTGCGCCCCGTGATGGACGAGTGGTAGAGCGTCTGCAGCCAGCAACTGCCACTTACGCCAGCAGTATAGGTAACACAATCCCATAGGCCAGCTTCTTGAGTCGCGAGGTACGAGCCAGTGCCAGCGACAAGCGCACGCAGACCGCCACCCGAGCCGCACATGGCAATGATGGGAACATCGTCCGGATGTATTTCATCTTCAGGGATGTCCAGATAAGAGGCCAGCGCCGCGGTTGCGTATTTTTGCCGCTTCTGTCTGTACGCCAATTCTTCGTTGCAGAGTGTATCCCCAACTCGAACTTTGGCCTTGCGGAGGATTTCTGGGTTGATGTCTGGGTCGTGAGCTTCGTGCCAAATATCGTCTGCAAGGGAGCCAGGCGCCATGGAGAGCTCGCGCTGGAGCTTCTGCACCGACAGTGGAAGCAATCGGGTCCAGTCCGGAATGATGTAGTTTTTGATGTTGTCGAGCTCAATCCAGTCGGGAGTGCCTACAGCCTGCTTCACCCCCTCGAACTTTTGCAGCACATTCGTCCATATCGAGCCTGCATCATGGTGCGGGTCTTCCTTGGAGCCATGACCCAACGGGTTCCAGTCGGAGCTTCCGGATGATTTATCCGACCGTTTATCAGAACCCGGGTTTGAGCTTGTTGAGAAGAAGCCTTTTGGGCCGGTCTGCAGCAGCAATTGCCTATTTGACTGAGTTCGGCCACTCGTAGTATAGAGGAGACCGCCGCCTAAGGCAATCAAAAGGGTAGGAGGAACAGTCCAGCGTAAACGCAGTGCCTTGGCAGCCCCCATGTTGCAATGGGTACTGCGTAGGTTTGGGGAGGTGGCGGGAAGCAACATGCAAGTGATGAAGCCATGGCGGCCAGGCCACGACGATCGTGGCCGGACTCCATTCTTAAAGCGAAGCTGGAGCTGGAAGACGCGCCGGGAATCTGCCGGAAACATGACGACATGTCACGTGGGGCGCATCCAGGAAATCCTCGGCACCGCAGACGGGCCGAACTTGCTGGATGGGGATTAGCGCCCCCTCTTCTGTCCGGGGGAGATTGAAGGGCCACAAGCTTGCTTCTTGAGCTCCTCTCTCTCGCCTACTAGTATGCTTGCTTCATGAGGCCAGGTGCCTCATCGGCCAGCTGTTCTTTTTGCTGTCCTTCCCCTCTTTCTTCTCTTCTCTTGCCTGACCGCCAGGGTCAAAGACATGACATCATCTCCTTCCGTCGCGAGTGTCTGATTCCGGTTACGAATCCCTGATTGCCTGACACACTAGTGGGACCTGCGCCGATCGAGGTCGAATCCTCACAGCCATGGTTGCTCCCAGGAACGCCGCCTACGCGGAGGAGAGCGCGGAGGTCGAGGTGCTATACGCCAACCTCGAGAAGCTCAAACTCCTGACGAAGAAGATTCAAGGCTCTCTGAATCGCTTGGAAACCGGGGGCAATGTGGTGAAGCATGCGATCGGGCCCATCTACAGCAATACCCAATCGCTACAGATCACCAACAGCAACATAGATAAGGTCAATGAAGCCATTGAACGCCTCCGCCAGCCTCTGGATGCCAAGGGCAAGGAAGAAGGAATTATACGATCAAGGTATGTAGCATCTTCGCGGGTTCGGGCTAATTCAGGGAATGTTTGGCTGACACCCGTTCAGCCCCCAGACCGTCGGTTTGTCGCAATACCTCTCTGCTGTGAAGCGCGTGGAAAAGGCCTTGGTCGACCTCAACTCAACCAATCTACGATCAAACCAGAAAGCTATTTCCGAATTTACTTCTTTGCTGGTGCTTGGAAACTCCCAGCTCCAGGACATGCTCCGCGGCACACTGAGCGACTACGTTAATCCGATCGAACCATTACACTACTTAACTAAAGGTCGGTGCCTAGTACACAACTCTCACTCAGACATGAGATACTAATGATTTGCGCCTCGCTGTAGAACTCTCATTCCCCTCGCTACCTGATGAGACTGTCGCGGAGTTGGGCCCGGTATGTTCGGCTATCGGCTCTGCAGCAAGCTATGGGCCACAACGGGGTGATGGCGGAAACCCCGCTCTCAAAATTTACGCCGATATTCGCGGACCATATATCACATCGAGCTTGCAGAACCTGGCCATAGCATCCCTCAATACTGTCAAACGACGGGCTGCCGACGGCCCTTACAGGCAAGGCACCAACGGTATCGGAATCTATTCCAATGCCTTAGAAAGCTTTATATATGCAGAACATGATATTCTCGTGCGGGTCTTTACAGGTGATCAACGGGGACTGGCTTTGCAGGCAACTTGCCGCTCCGCTTTGGGCGAATATGCGCAGACCTTGCGAGAGCTCAACCAGTATATCAGGGCAAACCTCATGACGGATTGCTTTTTGGCGTTCGAGATCATCGAGATTGTTACTGCCATGTCCTACCGTGTGGAGTCGAAAACAGGGGAGCTGAAAAGCCTTTTCATCGAGGCTCTCAGGCCGGTTCGGGAGACGGCAAAATCGTCGCTTTCGGAGTTATTGGAGGAGACAAAACGCAAGGCCGCAGGGATCACCATGCTCCCGCCAGATGGCGGGTCTGTTCCCCTTGTCAATGAAGTCATGAGCTCCCTTACTACCCTGACGGGCTATTCGGGGCCGCTCGCATCGATCTTGACATCTCTGGGAGATGGAAACTGGCGGTCCACGACCAATGCAGCGCCCACGGCGCCCTTGGATGTCAGCCCGGACAGCATGACCCTTTTATCGCACTTCATACTCGATATGATCGAAGCTCTTATGATCGCCCTGGAAGCTCGAGGCCGAGCACTTCACCGCTCGAAGGCAGTCCAGGGCGTTTTCTTGTCCAACGTATTCTGTACAGTGGATCGCTCCATCCGTCAGAGTTCTGAGTTGGCCCGATACCTTGGCTCTGCCGACAGCATTGCACGAATCGACACATTCCGCAAACGGGCCACTTCGACGTATCTCGATGCATGGAAAGAAACTTCCCACTATCTTCTGGATGTGCAGTATACCTCTCGGGGCTCTGGTGGGTCAGCACGACCGGCATCTGGAGGTGTTGTCGACTCCGCCGCCATTGTCAAATCACTTTCATCTAAGGACAAGGACGCTATCAAGGACAAGTTCAAAGCGTTCAATGCTAGTTTTGATGAACTGGTGGGCCGCCACAAGGCACTGTATATGGAGCGGGAGGTGCGCGGGGTGCTGGCTCGAGAGGTCCAGGCTGTTCTTGAGCCACTCTATGCCCGATTCTGGGACCGCTATCATGAGATCGACAAGGGACGAGGCAAATATGTCAAATACGACAAAGGCAGTTTGTCGGCTCAATTGGCGGCGCTTGGATGAGGATGGAAATTTTAGATATATACCTACCTTACCTTCTTATATTTCTAATGTGATAATATGTGTCTAAAAAAAGTCCTCCCCCACGATTTGGGCGTCATGTGGTGATAAGCAACTCCGGCGATAACGTGACCGATAAGCGGAGACCCCGCCGCGTTCATCCACTCCACTAGAAATTTGCTGGTCATCCCGCACAACTTTCGCCTCGCCCCTCCTCCGCCTTTTCCCCTTTTCCTCTTCCCTCAATTCCTTCTACAATCTTCTCAATTCCTCACGGCCAAGATGTCTGCCAGTAACGATGTCTACCAGACCCCTCTCAACTCGCGCTACTCCAGTAAGTTACCCGATAACACCTCGGGCGACCTCCTGCCCTCATAGTGCGATATCGGACTAACGGGACACCAATCTTCAGGCGACGAGATGAAGTATCTCTTCTCTCCCAGGAACCGTTTCTCTACCTGGAGACAGCTGTGGCTCTGGCTCGCCGAGGCCGAGAAAGGTAAACCATACTGCCCATTGTCGTGCTTTTGTCACCCCGTTTCCATTGCTCGACTAACCCGCACAGAGCTCGGTTTGCCGATCTCCGACGAAGCCATTGAGCAGATGAAGGCCCACCTCACTATTCAGGACGACGAATTTAAGGTTGCCGCTGAGGAGGAGAAGCGCCGTAGACACGATGTCATGGCTCACGTTCACGCCTATGGCCAGGTCGCTCCTGCCGCTGCCGGAATCATCCACTGGGGCGCCACCTCCTGCTACTGCACCGACAACGCAGACTTGATCTTCCTCCGTGACGGTCTCGATATCCTCATCCCCAAGCTTGCTGTCGTCATTGACAAGCTGTCTGCCTTCGCTAAGCAGTACAAGGACCTGCCCTGCCTGGGTTTCACCCACGGACAGCCCGCTCAGCTTGTTACCGTCGGAAAGCGTGCCTCCCTGTGGATCCAGGACTTGCTCATGGACCTGAAGAACCTCGAGCGGGCTCGCGATGACCTGCGCTTCCGTGGTGTCAAGGGCACCACCGGTACCCAGGCCTCTTTCCTCCAGATCTTCGAGGGCAACCATGACAAGGTTGAGCAGTTGGATGAGCTGGTCACCGAAAAGGCCGGTTTCAAGTCTGCGTACATCATTTCCGCCCAGACCTACTCCCGTAAGATTGATGTCGATGTTGGCAATGCCCTCGGCTCTTTTGGCTCTACCTGCGAGCGCATTGGCATTGACATCCGTCACTTGGCCATGCTGAAGGAGGTTGAGGAGCCTTTCGAGAAGGACCAGATTGGTAGCAGTGCTATGGTGAGGAAAAAAATTCAAAAGGACCAATGAGAGCTACAGGAAATACTAACGTGGTTGGTCTGTGCAGGCTTACAAGCGTAACCCCATGCGGTCCGAGCGTCTGTGCTCTCTCGGAAGACACCTTCAGAACCTCCCCAAGGATGCTCTGGACACCTACTCCGCTCAGTGGTTCGAGCGCTCTCTCGTAAGTTTGCGAGATGTTTCTCGTTATCCGACTTCATTTATTAACGGCATGAACAGGATGACAGTGCTATCCGCCGTATCAGCATCCCCGAACTCTTCCTTTCGGCCGATGCCTGTCTCATCCTTCTGAGTGAGTTTTCAGCGCCTTTTCCACTCATCTCTTCCGATGCTGACAAGCGTTAGACAACGTCACCTCCGGCTTTGTTGTTTACCCCGAAGTCATCAGACGCCATGTCAACGATGAGCTGCCCTTCATGGCCACGTAAGTTCCAGACGCCTCTCCCCCCATGTTGAAGCTCCAGCTAACCAAGAGATCAACTATAGTGAGAATGTAAGCCTTCCGCGTCCAGAACCGTCTCTTCCAATAATACTAACCATAGCATAACAGATCATCATGGCCTGTGTGAAGAAGGGTCTGTCCCGTCAGGACGCCCACGAGGAAATCCGTACGTCGCGCGGCCCCCAATCCAGTCCCACACTAGCTAGCCCTAACCTAACAACTTCTTGCGCTACAACAGGTGTCCTCTCCCACCAAGCCGCCGACAACGTCAAGAAGCTCGGCTTGAACAACGACCTGCTCGACCGCGTCCGTCGCACTGCTTTCTTCGCCCCCATCCTGGATGAGCTTGATGCTCTCCTTGACCCCAGCACCTTCGTCGGCCGTGCTCCCCAGCAGGTTGAGAAGTTCCTCTCCACCGAAGTGAAGGAGGCTCTCAAGCCCTACGAGGCCCAGGTCGCCAAGGCCGAGACCTCTGCCCTCTACGTATAGTTTCTTCCCGCACGCGCGCACATATAGACACGTCATGGAGTTATACCGAGCGGGTAGGCCGGACAGGAGCGAATTGGCGTTTTCTTCCTCCACAATCTCCCTACACAAAAGCGAAATCTAGTCATGCGACATGCCAGCGAAATCTGTTCCTAGTACCTTGATTTGACCAAAAACGGAGAAGGCCGTTTTAGCAGATTGCAGCAGTCTAAAAGACCATGTGTATAGATAATATAATTGATGAAATGACACGAGATGTTAATAATGCACGTTGATTAAATGTTCTCCTTGTTGGTCGGTATGTTTACAGTTTAAGTGACGTTACACGATGTACCTGCCTAGCGGTGAGGTACATACTACTACATACCCATTGTACTTTCCGTCCCCTTATCGGAAGCCTAGAACGCAGTGGCAGGGAAGTTGCTGCTGCAGCCCCGACGGCCCAACCAGTCGGCTGTGGTAAAACAGAGTTTTGGCAGAACTCAAAACTGTGGGGAGAAATTTTACTGCAACATTGTATCTACAGGTCCCCAGGCCTTATTCAAAGACACGGTATGTAAAATAAACTACTACTAAGTTAATGTGTGAATCTTTCCGGTTGCGGGTATCTGTGTTCTATAAATTCAGTGTAATGTATTGTGACTGGTTCAATCGAGAAAACATAGACACAGTAGTAGATGATGATGAGAAATGTCAATAACGCCTTGGCCATTTAAATACCAGACAAACAGATGTGATGTGTGGATGAAGCTGCGAGTTTACATGATGAAACAGGATAGAAAAAAGAAAAATGCAGTGAAATCGATATGAGGGTGCGCGATGTAATAAGGTAGAGCGAAAGAGAAGAGAAAAAAAAAAGCGAAGAGAAAGAAGAAGAAGGAGAAGAAAGAGAAGAAAAAAGTAGGAAAAGAAAACACATGTCCCATCCATCAAAAGCAATCTGGCTCGGAAATAATACTTCTCATGAGACGTCAAGGTTTGACAGATAAGACAATACAGGACAAGAAAAGCAGCGAAATATAGACACGCTGTCGGTCACTGTTGATATGAGGCAACATGTATTTCAGAATACCTGAGGGGGATTTGGGTTAAATAGAGCGCACGTTTTAGGGACATCCAATACCGTAGTTAGTTTCGAAGGAACCTTTGAACGGATAGCACAGCACCACTCCGTCATCAATTCAGAGCATAGCCAGCCAGTTGATAACCTAAGGGGCTGTTACTGAAAGTACTTGGTGGCAAAATATGCAGAGCGTCACTCACCATCATCGCTTGTATCAAAGCTACCTTCTCTCCGTAGTGCTTACCATCCCAACTATCAGCTTGAAGGGTCGCATTGTACATTCCCAGAGCATCCAAGCCTCTGTTGCGGGCTTCTTGGGCGGTGTCTTGTGAATACTGCCAGCTGGATGCGTGGATGTTGTCCCTCGAGTCCTTTTGAAGCCCAGGAGCTGTCGGACCTACCCAGAGAAAAGGGGTATTCCGTCCACTGGCCTGGGCCAGTGTGAGCCATTCATCCATACTGCTTTTAGCTGTAGACAGGGAATAGGATGTGGAAAGGGAAAGACTCAGGATCACGGGAACGGGTTTGTTTCGGCCAACTCCTCGGGCGACCATTCGACGAAATTTGTCATACACACCCCTTGGGGCAGGAGAACTGGCTGTAGCGAGGAAGGCATGAGGAATACCTGAGAGCAAGAAGCATTGTCAGCAATTCAGCCCAGATGTGAGCATTGATGTTGACTAGGATGCTGGGGGTGCTTACGGGATGAACAAGCGTAAGGCCTGCGAGGGGCACTGCTTCCTTCTTGAGCGTATACCTCATCACTCGAAGTAATCCGCAGAGGTAGGCACGATCTACTGGTGAACTGGGATTCACATCGGCAATCATGGCCATGTCCTTTGTTTATCTCCCACTCTCTCAGGGATCCAGTGGCCAAGTCCTCCCGCAAAAGAATGTTGAAGCCTGCATAGGCATCGGCCAAGGTATCATCACCCACAAAGACGATTCCATCGAATTTCCGAAGAATGTCGCATACTTCGGCGCTAGTGAACCAACGATAAGAGCATCCTGGAAGGGAAGGTCAGTTTGAGTGTCAAGAAGGCAACTGTTGCCCCTCTGGAGCCCCTCCGAGAAGCCGAAGTGTCCGATACGAGAAAAGAAAGACCATCGATTTGGCACTTGCCTTGAGAGGTATACGCAGCGTCAAAGCCGTGACGCCCGCCATTGCTCATGGCGTTGAGCAGGGCATCACGAGATTGGCAGTAGGGATTGCTTGAAGCACGTTCGCCATCACCGGGTTGAGGGGGGCTGAAGAGGGACAGGGAAGAAATGTCGCACTCTTGACGACCCACATAGGGAGCCAGTAAACTATGTACAAGACGGGGCCAGATGAGTAATTGGGTCTTGGACCGGAGGAAACGATGAGGTCAACCAGAAGGGGGCAAAAACAAGGAAACTGACAGGGAGAGGCATCCAGGGACTTACTCATTCGTGTCTTTGGGGGTGAGAGGCTGTTTGGAAGAGGCGTAGAAGGGGTAGTAGAAGACATCCCGGATCAGCCAGACGATATAAAAGACACCCAACACCCACAGACAAGCCATCAACTTGTACGTGGAGGATCGCCAGGTGACCCTACGAATCAAGCGTCGACCGTTGGGCCCTTCGATCGGGCCGCGTCGCTGTGGAGCATTGCTTTGCTGCATCCCGGAGAAAGGATAGGCAAGAGCTTCGTTCATAGTAGATGAAATTCCCAATGATTCGCTGTGAGAGGCACGACGGCGAGACATATTGGGTTTGTTTACATGAACATGCAGCTGGAGGGGTAGTACAAGGGGGAAGGGAGAGAGTCAGGAAAGATGCATCTGCTGAAGTACCAGAAGCCCTTGTTTGCTTAGGTGACTGACTGCCCAGGGCTAATCCAGTCACAATGCAAGCTGAAGTCTCGGAATCAGGCAGGATTCCCAGCCAACGTAATGGGGCCAGCCAGGGGAAGCACCCCGAGAGGGGGCAAATAGGATAGTAGATAGTATCGGAGTAGGAAGGGAGGGAGGGGGGTTGTGATTTGTGTGGTTTGAGGCCGGAGACAGGCCGTCTTGTCTGGCACGACTCGCCCGAACGGGTAATCAGAGAGGCACGTAGAGGTTGATGGTGATGGGTGATGATGATGGGGTTAGAAATGATAGTAAGTTGTGGCGTTGGAGACACTGACTGCTAATTTCCTAAAGCAGGAAATAAACAATCACCACACGAGAGAAGGAGGGGGGATGGTGGAAGATGGGAGGGGGAGTAGCTGAAGAGTGGAGGGAGGCCTTTAGATGTCTCCTTCCGATTGGGATGATATTATTCCCAAGAATTGGTGCCTCTCTCTGTCTCTGTCTCTCTCTCTCTCTCTCCACGTCTCTCTCACACTCTCTTCTTCTTCGTCCTTGCTTTCTTTCTCTCTTTGCTTCGATTCTCTTCTTCTGTTCTCCTAGTCCTAACTGGACGTGACTTTGCTTTCCCTGCCACCTGAGATTTCCTTCAGTCAAAGTCGACGGTTGCCCCAAATCCGTTCCACCAAGTGGCCTCTCGTTCTTTCCTTTTTGAGCAGGTTTCTACTTCCCACCCAGTCTTTTGCTCTGTTGGTTTGACTGGTTTGCTTTCAGGCTTTATTATTTTCTTTTTTTTCCCCTTCTTTTCTTTTTTTCTTCCTCTTCCAATTTTTCCCCTCTTTTTTTTCACTTCTGTCTGTCTGTCTGTCTTGTTTGGTCTCCTTCTGGCTTGGCTCACAAGTGGTCCTCTTTTTTTTCCCCTGAATATTAACCAATACGAAGGCTCCAATGACAGGACCACACACGCGCACACACAATGGGATCAACAGAGTGACAGAAATATAACCTAGAAGGCAATGGAGGGGCAAGTAGTAATTATGAAGGAGGGGCTAATTGACTGGTTCCGGGCCAGTGAAGGGCAGAGATTCGGCTTCAACAGCATGAGCGCAAAAAAGGCAATGCTGGGAAGGTTTGCGGATCCTCTCTATCGGGTTCCTGCCAATGAGTGAGTGCACAGCAACAACCCAGCCAGATAGTCTGGTAAACGCCTTCTCCAGTGCAATCGGGAAGATTAACAATAAGAATTGCCAAAGGGAAAAAGAAATATGAGATCCAAAACAAGAAAAAGCCAACTAATCATCAAAATCTATGAAAAGGGAAAAAAAAAAAAGAAAATAAAAAAGACAATTAGAAGAATGAATCCCAACAGAAGAGGGATTGAAGAAGAAACCCAGAATACACACACAAACACACAAAAATTTCAGAGACCATAAATCAATACTAGTAATGAAATATAATGAATGAGAAAAAAAAAGGTATGACGAGGGTTTTTGATGTTCGTGCAATGCCGGTTTGCATCATTTTTCTTTTCGCACCCCAATTTTTTTTTTTGTTCCTTTTGGGTTAGAACAATAAACCCACAGGGTAACGGAAATAAAAAACGAACAACTAAAAACCGACACATGCCCTCAATCAAAGCCGCTGGAACAAAATCCTGGGACAAGCCATTCTTCCACTGCATGTAAACAAACTGGTCGATGGATCCATTTTACCCCCTCCCTTCTTGTCCCGATCCATCAGTCCACAGCCCGGGATGAGCTATAGCCATCATCATAACACATAAGAATGGCAACGAAACCCACTCCCGCACACAAATAATAACAAGCCTCGGGGGAAGAAATTGGTCCGTGACATCAAATCGGACACTTTCCACTCACCTATTATGGAAAAGTTTGCCCCTCTAAATCGTAATCACTGCGTTTCCCGACCACTTCGGGATCTGTCACAGATCACACAATCGATAAAAAAGAAATAGATAAACAATGTAAAAATGGAAGAAAAATATATAGTGTGATAGTGATATATAAATATATATAAAAGAAAATAGAAAGTTGAGGCCCAAGATAAGGTGGTGAGATCAACACCAAATCTGAAACCAAATAAGAAAAAAAGCACAAATAAAAGTATCGGTATCCCCCAGAGAAGTCCCGTGGAAAAGAGAAACTGAACTCAGGGTCAACCCAAGAGTTGCCGGTGCTTCCTCGGCGATTTTAAAACGGTCAACTCACACCGTACGGTGAGATGAGGGCCAGTCAGATAACCTGACGGGCAGATACTCGAGGTGACGACTAGTAGTTCTCCGGTTGGTGGGCCAGACAGGTGTCAAAAAAGTTAACGAGACTCCACTGTTCAAGAAGGTTTCGGGCGGAAAGGACATGCGAAGAATTGAATGTGAGACCAGAGGGACGCCAGCTGGAGTTAACTGAACTATGGCCCCGGTAATTGCAAGCTAACTAGGGGAGGAGGGAGCCCCTTTAGGGGACGAACAAGGGCCTTAGTTAGAGCCAGTCCATGGTCACCTTTTTTTTTTTAATGACAGGGGGTGTGGGTGGGTTGTCATCGACGGGGGTATGTGTGTGTGCTGTGTGGGTGTGTGTGTGGAAAATCGGGCTCCATCTCTCGCAGACTCACATTTCTTCTTTCTTTCGAAAGTGATAGAGCAGAAATGACAGAAGATCATGACGACGCAATGATGGGTAAGGAGTCACCACCTGCCTGAAAGGCTTGGGTTGGGCATCCGTTTTCCATGACCGTTCATCTCAATTTTCTTTTTTTCTTATTCTTTTCTTCTTCCAATTTTTACTTTTTCTTCTTTTTTTCTCTCTTCTTGTTGCTCCGCCTCTTTTTCCAGCCCTATGCAGCGGGTTTGGGGAGTGATAGGAGTTCTCACCGCGTCGCGTCGTCTCTCACCCTCGCTCGCTCATCTTTATCAGGACGCGGCCTCGCCTGATTGGCTCTCCCGTTAAGTGGACTAACCATCGGAGATGCACCACGAGGATCTTCGCTGCTGCGGCCGTCGTTTAAATATTCCACCTGGGTCTTTTTGCTTTTTCCTGCTGTTGTGTCCGTCCAGTGACTAAGTTCTAGCGGTAACTAATGAACCCAAGTACAAAGCCACGATGTGGCGGTCCAGCAGATGGTTGCCCAGAACTTTCTTCATTTTTCGTATGCAGGGACAATACGAGATAGAACCACGAGCATATGTCCATAACAATACAATTCCTAGTCTTTATTTTATGTCATAAGAGGGATGTTGTCCTCTACCACATCTGCACTTTTTGGTTTCCCTTCATGAGACGATTTGTTTCTAGTTCAGCTTCCCGTCAAGTGTTGCTAGCCATCAACGTGGCAGGTGACTAGAATTCTATATATCCAGACCCTAATGGGGAGTGGTCACGAGGCCGATCCCAACAGCGATAAACTCCAGCGATAAACTCCCCAGAGAGTTACTGACTACTAATTGGGAGCCGGTGTACACGGTATACATAAGCTTGTTGAGAACCTCATGAAGAACCACGGATCACTGGGGACACCCGCGGGAAGGGGAGAACCTAATCAGGGTGTACCTTGACAAAAGCAGCCAGCTGCGTTTGAAGATGGAGGGGAGAGACAAAGAAGCAAATCCGAGACTGACAAGGAACAAGGGACTCTAGACCTAACTACTACTATTACTCTTGCTGGATGGGGTTCTGGCCAGTCGGAGTGTGCGCGTGCCCCGGATTCGAACCAGCCTCGGACGAAGGGGAGATCCGGAGAAAGGTTCAGCTTGACACCGGCAATCCCGTGTGCGTCGACCTATTGCTCGTGACTACAGCTATCTACTAAACTATTTCTTGACTAGTCAATAGTTGACACACACTACAGTGACTACCCAGGCCCGGAGAATATCAGCTTAAGTAAGATGAAGGTGCATATAATGCCACCAGCAGCAGCAAGGGTCACATCGACACATCCCCACAGACACAGTCGGCTGAAAGGGTCTGCGCGATGAGGCAAGAGGGGGAGGTGAATGGAACATGGCCAGCCATGACCATGACCAATTTCCTCCGTAGAGGGCAGATCTGCGATGTTGTCTGTCCGCCAGCAGAGCAGAGCAGGAGCAGGCGATTCACGGAGTATTTGAGCCCGGAGTGTTCCTGCTTTTCCCTAAGACCGGGTGGTGCAATGGGCCTTTTCTTGAATCCTTATAAAAGAGTGGCTCCGAATCGGCAGAGGAAATAGCAACATCCTCGGCCAAGCACGGGATCGCAGACGGCAACTGCCCCCCCATCAGCACACGTGACTCTTGACTCCCCGGGAATTGAGAGTCTCAGTCTCCGCAGCTGCCCATCCAAAAAGAGTCATTCCTCCTCCACCGGTCGGTCTGCCCACTTCCCTCCGCCCGTGCTCTCTTTCCTTTTTCTCTCGACTTTCCCACCAACACCCCCTCCAAAGCGTCTCGATCGGTCTGAAAAGTAAGATCTCTTCTTGGCTATTGTTTGTTCTTTTTTTTTTTTCTATCTATATTGTCCCCGTGGTGGTATATATCTCTCTGTCTCCTGCCCACCCGAGTTCCTGGTTCTCTGCGAGGCACCATTCCGGGGATCTTCATACCGCCCGCCGTTCCGAGCTCGCCTGCGAGCGGAGGTGTCCCTCAACCTCGGTAGTCCTTCTCTCACCTCTCTCACTCCTTACCAACTTTCACAATTGACTGACCAGCTATTCGACCAGCTGCTCTCAATAACCTGGAGCGCCTGTATAATTCACATTGGTTGTATCGAGTGCTATTCCAGGCCGTCTGGCCTGATCCTCGCGTTGACATCATGTGGAAGCCGTCGGAGAGTCTGATGAACACCATCAGACATTATGCCAGCTTCCCTGCTACTGGTGTCTCTCTCCGACAGATGGTGCAGTTTGGAGATAGGCCCTCCACAGGTAAGTCTTCTTGTTTTCTTTTAGAAGCACTCCTCTCTTTCTTTCAACTTCTTGAGTGTTCACCCCGCTAACCTCGTGATCTTTTCCCCTCACCAGGCACCCTCTTTCGCGCCTCACAGTTCCTTTCCGAAGAACTCCCAATACGTCTCGCTCATCGGGTCCAGGATCTTGGAGAACTTCCAGATGGTCTCAGTGAAATGCCATCTATCAAGAAGGTCCAGGACTGGTACGCACAGTCGTTCGAGGTATGACTCATACCCGCTGGAGGTTGTTCTCGGGTGATGACTGACATGTGATAACGTAGGAAATCATCAACCTCCCTCGACCTACTCTAACCCAGGAAGTCAAGACTCGTCTGCTCCGTCCGGGGAGGCTCAACGGAGGCACTTCGAGAATCCTCTCCGAAACAACCCAGAACCCTAGCATCCGTGAAGGACAGTATCGCTCGTCACCCTCGTCCCTGTTGAACGGCAACGGCAACGGCAAAGGCGCCGCCGTGGGCCGAAGATACTATGCTCCTTCTGATGACCATGGAGATTGGCCCCCGGAACTGAATGATTACAATGAACGCTTCGCCAAGACTTTGCAGCATATCAAGCGGAGACACGACAGTGTTGTCACTACCGTGGCTCAAGGTATCCTTGAATGGAAACGAAAGCGCCAACGTCTGCAGATTGATTCCACCGTACAGTCCTTCCTCGATCGGTTTTACATGTCCCGGATTGGTATACGAATGTTGATCGGTCAACATATCGCTTTAACGGAACAAACGCATGTGCGACAACCAAACTATGTCGGTATCATCTGTACGAAAACCAATGTGCGCGAGGTAGCCCTCGAGGCTATCGACAACGCTCGCTTCGTCTGTGAGGATTACTATGGTCTCTTTGATGCACCCAAAGTCCAACTTGTCTGCAAGGAGGATCTGAACTTCATGTATGTTCCGGGTCACTTGTCCCATATGCTCTTTGAAACCTTGAAGAACTCCTTGCGTGCTGTCGTGGAAGCCCACGGCGCAGACAAGGATGCCTTCCCGGTCACCAAGGTCATCATCGCAGAGGGCAAAGAAGACATTACCATCAAGATTTCCGACGAAGGTGGTGGCATCCCTCGCTCCGCCATCCCCTTGGTCTGGACGTACATGTACACTACCGTAGAGCAAACTCCTAGCCTGGATCCCGACTTTGACAAGAGTGACTTCAAGGCTCCCATGGCCGGTTTTGGTTACGGTCTGCCGATTAGTCGACTGTATGCTCGCTACTTTGGTGGCGATCTGAAGCTGATCAGTATGGAAGGGTGAGTGCCAAGGTCCCGACCAATGTGAACGACCCAAGGTGACTAACCACACACTAGATATGGCACTGACGTCTATCTCCATCTCAACCGGCTCTCTTCGAGCTCGGAGCCCCTGCAATGACAATTACCAGTCATGAGGGATGGTCGTGTCCGGTTCTCCACTTCCCACCGACTGCATCCTTTCTACACAGAACCGGATCCACCACCATCCCAAGGATTGACGCCGATGAACATTCAAAGCGCGCGGATGCGCAATCGGGAAGTTTCCGAACGCAAGCAAGTTGGAGATGCAGCAATTCTACTCAACGCTGAGACGCGTGGATAAAGTAGCTGCAATTTGCTTGGCGCTTACCCTCGCCCAGTCAACACGCCCATGCCGACGCACTAGACTGGGGCACTAGTGGGGACAGAACTTCTAGAGAACTATAAGCCACGAAACCTTGTCATACCCTGGCTCAGCATGTGACATGGTCGGCCCCCTTGCAGGCCTTGTGGGTGGAAGGTTGCTACTACCATTCTTATACTTGTTGAAAAGTGATGCGCTGGCATTCCCCTGTGTTTTAGGAGGATGTATTGAGATTCAGGCCGCATTTCTGGTCTATTAGATACCCTTTTTGGTACGATGGATCCGCATTGGAAGACACAGACGCTCATGCATTCATTGACTTGAGTCGTATTTTGGAGATCTATACATCACTATAGATGATTGGGCGCCTGTGCCTGCATTCTTCCCTGGACACCATCTTTTGTTGCTTGTTTGCTTGCCATTATTTATTGCTATTGGTTACCTTGCATGTTATGCCTGAGTCGCAACCCTCCTTGTATAGTATGTTTCTTACGGATTGACGGAATATGGTACGGTATGGTTTTGGATAGGATTTGTATGTACACAAACGCAGCGCTGAATCATTGTTTGGATATGTGAATAATACACCTAGAATTAAACCCGTAAGAGAAGCTTAGCATCTACTTAGTACTACCCCTCAAACAACCCCCTCCTCCTCTCCCTCTCCCGATACGACGCCGACTGCTGCAACCCCCTTCCCCCTCTCACTCCCCTCCCCACCCGATCCGGCGTCCCCATCCTCCCCTTCATCTTCGACGCCGCCGACCCAGACCCGGAAATCGATCCCGACCCCACCGACGCAGGCGACGACTGCATCCCCCCAGCACCGCTAGCACTGACCGATCCCCCTCGTCCCGCACGCTCCATCATCGGCCTCCTCCACCCCGCATCATCCGTCTCATACACATCCACCACCTGTCGCGGCACAATCATCGCAACCGTCGACGACGAAGAAGCAATACTGCTCGTGCTAGGATGCTGCACCGTGAACCGGTCTGCGCGGATCGAGGCCGCGGCTTCGGGGTCCTGGGGGGCGAGAAGGCGGGATAGAAATCGGCGGCGGGCTTGGGGGAGGGTCTGTACATTATTCATTCATACTGTTTAGCGTTGCATCTACGGAGAGGGGCATAGATATGAAGAAGAGGTTGGGGAGGGGGGAAGTTCTTACCTCTTGATGCGCCAACGCTTGAATAGTCAGTAGTTCCCTGTCTAGGAGGACGCATAACGCGGCGTGGCGGTCTTCGCGGAGGCGAGTGCGTATTTGACGTTCTTGGTCGAGGGTTGTTTGGTAGAGAGTTGGGCCTAGGTTGGGGGTTGGTGTTGTTGGGTAGGCTTGGTGCTTTGTTAGTGGGATTCTCTTATTTCCCATTGAATTGTTATAATAGTGGTGAAATCAAGGTGGTTATGGTTGATTGTGAGGTACCTGCTTGCTATGTGCTGTGGTTGGGGGGAGGGAATACTTACTAAACCCCATTATACCCGACTGAGGCCGCGAAGACTGTAACGAGTACTCTACCTGCATATCGTCGTCGTCCTCCGCCGATTCGCTCTCTTCGAGGTCAAGTTCGCGGATTAAAGCGTCTTCGTCGCCTTCGTATACTTGGAAGTAGACCTCTCCCGAGTAGTCGTTTTCGAGTTCTTCGTCCTCGTCATCGTCGGCAATCACGATGGGGTCACCTTGGCGACGGCCGGGGTTGGGTGTGGGGATGTTGGGGTTGAACATTTTCTTTTCTTTGTTTCTTTCGTTGAGGAATTGAGATTGAGGCGTGATTGGGGGGGTAGTGCGTGGAGGATGTACGTTTTTGTTTGTGTGTGTGGTTATGCGCAGAGCGGGTATTGTTCAAGTCGCTCCGGTTAGCATGTGATTATGCGTAATGCGCGCTGATAGGAATCACGGGGATAATTGATGATGGTTGGGAGTTGTAAGTAGGATCGGGTATATGTATACAAGAAGTGCAGAAAGTATGCCGGTATGTTGATAGACAGAGTAGAACTGGTGTGTGCTGTGTGTGATTCGTGCTCAAAAGTATTCGGTAGAGCGACACAAGCTCCGCAGTGCATACACTGCACAGGTCGAGCTGTAGAGCAGATATGAGCGAGGAAATGGGCGAACTGAAGCTGACAGAAGCTGCACGGTTGACTTTTCGGTGTAAAAGTACTGTTCAACCCCGTCCGGCAGGATTAGACACGTCAATACTCCCGTCGTGCTGCGGTTCGCAAAAAGAAGAACTGGCGCGAAGCTGAATGAAGAGAGGAAAGAGTGGAGAGGATGACGATGGCGGAGAAGGAATGGGTAGCGCGGCTTAGTCACGGGGCTGCCCTACATGGCGGGTTGACAGGTCACTTTTACGAACCGCTTCACTGCGAAGGAGGCCATCACTCACGATCAGATGGTTCGTTGGTATTCATTTCTATCGAGTATCTCTATCTGCCCGACCATTACTCGCTCAATGCTCGAACAGTCCACTTCCATCCCTCGATGCCTCCCTCCCAGTCACTCAAACACCCTCCCATCCGAAGAAGCCACTATACTATGAAGCTAAAGCACGAAACATCCCAGCACGACATGCCAACTGGGTAAATGCGAAGAAAGTTGCATAAATTACAAGTGAAGATCAAGATGCGATATGTCAGACCCCAAACCACCAGCTCGAAGGACGAAAAGACGCCGTCAACGCCAAAGGATAATGCCGCTAAAATGACTCGCAAGCGCCTATGACCGGCACCATGAGCATGCCAGTAAGCCGTGCGGTGTTTGTATCAAGAGAGACCGGCTGAAACTGATCTGGTATTCCCAGAAAAGCTAGGTAACACTCGAAGATCGAATCCCGCGTCCCGTCGAAAGAATCAGCACCCGTTCATTAAAGAATTCTTGGGCCAGTCGTATCCAGCATCACCCCTGCTATTTATCAGAAACCCCGTGCTACAATGTCCTGAGATTGGAAATGCATACCATGTTGTTACGTTATTGTTAGTATAAGCCTCTGCATGGCTGGCAATATACTCGGTCGTCTCATAGCCTGGCGGGTCGCAGGTGACACTGATGTTGTCTGGATCCTGGTATATGCGGATATAATCGAATCTCATAAATCCAGGCATTATGTTGCGGATTGTCTCATTGATTGGAGCGAAACTCCATGCCATACCCAGGTTCATAACTATCGACATCGGCTCCATCGGAATCATCCGCTGTCCAACGTTGCCGTTGGGACCAATAGCTCGCCCGTCTAGGGTCCAGGTCTTATCCTGGCCCACGAACCAGGTCACGTTGCCTACCGCACCCGGGGTATACTCGAATGCATAGACCTGGTACTCGGTCCCATTATACCAGCGGTTGTTGAGGTTGGTCAGGCCAGACATAGCCTGCTGGTACGGCCCGCCCCGATAGGAATTGATCTCGGTGATACGAGGGTCATACACGGCAGTGTAATCTGCAGGTTGTTAGAACAGATATGACCAGGCACATGCTGTCAGCAGCGTTAGGCACCTACCGTAGTCAGGCATGTACCAGATGTCAAATGGAGCCATTTGCAAACTCTGGGATGCGGTTCCAATGAAAGCGTTTGGGTTGTTGTTCAGAGGGCCTACACTGGCCTCGATCACATCAATTTCCGGGGCGCCACGGGATTTTCCCGGGGTGGGATGATCAGCACCGTTACAAGTGCATGCCGGTAGACGCATGCCTGGAAGAAAATTGATACCATCTGGAGAACTCTGGTTCGGCGTAATGCCTGCATCGCATCCGTCGTAGTAGCTGTATGGCCACGTGCCATCCGTGGTCGCAGCATAGCCTGGGCGGCCTAGGTTGCCCATCGCCCAGAACCCGGGCCAAAATCCAGATACATCTCCAGCTCCGGGCAGGGAGATACTGGCTTCCAAGCGTCCACCGGAGAAGCACAGCTTATTCCAGCTTTGCACCATTCCCGAACGGTAGCCAAGCTCATGGTTTGTAAATGCATCGAACCGGATCTCCAACGATCCATCTTTCGTCGTGACTGCATCCGGGTCATACCACTATCGAAAAGGTTAGTCACGATGCATTGATGGAAGTCGATATCGGTACTAGCCTCCAGGTCCTGCGTCACACCATACCAGAAATCCATGGCCTGATAATAGGCGTCATCCCCATCATAAAATGTTCGGCCAGGGGTTTCGAATTCGTCAGAGAACTGCTCCGGGTCAATGACTATTCACTATTGTAGCTCGCAGCATCTTCTTCCTGACTCACCACTAACTGCCATTCCTTCCCATCCACGGTCTTCTTTGTCATTGCTGATTCGGGTGTGTCAGGGTCTATCAATCCAGTCCTCAAGTTGGTAAGACCTGATCGATCCCCAACGTCAAGACACAGAGTATCGGCTGGGTCACATGTCGGTACGTATTTTTTTGATATCCCGCCCAGGGCAGTTCTAATGACCAGTCAGTATGCGTCCAATTTGAGCACGGCGCTGAGACCAGCAAGTCATGGAAGACTCACATCACTGGGTAGGCGACAAATAACACTACAAAGCCCACCGTCATGAGAAGCAGCCCACCCAGATTGACCAAACCCCGCTTATTCCATACATCGCACACAATGTCCTTGTCGTTTGGATCGGGATTATGCATATAGTCATCCTTCTCAACATCCTCCGGGAACAATAATAAACCTTCTGTTGGCATTATGTTGTACTTTTCCGTCACTGTTTGAGTGTTCACGTCATCCCCTTCACTTTCTGCACGCGAGGGCGCCCGGGAATCTTCGAAACGACTGTACAGGTAGGCTCTGGCATCATAGCTGACGGCCTCTGAGCTCCAGCTCGTCCGTCGCGAGGACCGAATGGACAGTTCGGGAGACCGCAGTTCCTCTCTGACGCGGTAGGGCCGCGGGGGTATTAAAAGCTCGGTTGATTCCTGGGGAGTGGGCGAGCCCCATGTCGTCGGGAACGTGGCTTCAGAGGCCGACTGCACCATGCCGGGGGTCAACGACCGCCCCATCTGCTGGGGCGGTACTGACACGTAGGGATCATCGGAGTCGGCGAATGGGTCATGTTGGCCCGAATTGACACGGATGTGAGGTGTCTCGCGCAAGATCGCCTCTTCGGACATCCTGCGAAATGAAGGTCCGCCTCGAGGAGACCGGACTGGACGCTTTTGTATGCTAATTCTGAAGCTCAATGGTGCTTAAGCAGATTGGGTGTCAAGGAGCGGTTACCCAGTATATCAAGATCCCTTCTAGCTTGCTATATCACACGTCCTCCACTTCGCGTCCTTTGTGTTCCACCTGGTCAGGCAGATGCCCACCCTCTGGAGACCAGGTATTTCACTGCAAGCCCAAATATGATTGACGAGGGATGTCAACCGCTTAGTAGTAATGAGTGACAATGGAGGCGCGATAAGTATCGGATGTGCCAATGCGATAATGAATGTGAAAGTGGTTGTCCAATGCCCGCCTATATCCTAGAGCCAGTGCATATAATCAACCCCGGAGCTGAGCACGAGGATCGATTGATCTGACGAATGGGTTGAACTGATGCGATATGACTTGTAGCTAAGGGATTGTGGGATGAGCGACAGGAAGGTAATTGTGCAGATAAAGAAAGAAGGAGTAGTGAACCGCTGAATCGCTCACAAGCCGAAGAATATCGCGGAGGAAGAAGTTGAGAAAGTGAAAGAAAAGAGAAAGCACGCGAATTGGAACCCAGATGAAGATGGTGACAGAGACAGCCGTGACGCAGGGCTCAAGGAAGGGATGGGCAGCGCACGAAGTGAAGGAGGAAGAAGAAGAAGAAGAAAATGAAGGTGTAAAGAGAGAGAATGGGAGAATGGGAGAATGGAAGAGAGATGAAGGTGTGTGGCAGCCAGAGTGTGAACAAACAATGTCAATCCCTCGAGTGGGCAAGTCGGTCCTACATGCATGGATGAACCCAAGCTTTTTCTTCCCTAATTTTCCTTGGATTTCCCCTTTTTGCACCAGAATGGAAATCACCTTAATTTTCCCTGCTGGGTGACGGCGGCATTACAGCTGCAGGAGGGAGAGTAATTACAGGAGGGTTTGGAGTGCAACGACATGGCGGAATGCATTAAATCAATTTTAGAGTCTAAAATCCCCTGGTGGGATTGCCAGGTCCAGAAAGTCCAGAAAGGGCGGCACCTGCATGGATGCTGCCTCGAATTGAAGTTATACTGCATCCCCTCGATCCCCGTCCGTGGCTGCGGTCTTCCTTCCAATAATGTGATGAGCTGCTGCTGCACACGACGCAGGTCCGGCCCAGTTACCGTATACACTTGCTTACGCAGTCAGTAATCAACTTCCTGATGAAAGGGCCAACTTTCCCCGGCAACCCTTTCCATGACAGATGAGATTCCTGAATGTTGGGAAAGAATCCGGTTGCCCTTGACTGGCGGGAATGACGGGCCCTGAACCATGGAATTCCATTCTGGGCCGAAAATACAAGGTTAGTAAATCCATCTCGGGCGCATTAGTCCCGATTAGGACTAGTCAGTACCAGAATGGAACGGCCACTAGTTCTCAAACTGATAACTTACAGTAACTTGCAGTTGCGCGAACTGAAGTTAGCGCCGATCATCTGGTATTGTAACTTGGTAATAAACACGCCTTGATCTCTGTCCCTCTCTCCTTCCCGCATTCTTGCCGCCGTTGGCCATTGACGACTACATTCCATCTCTCCTGGCTGCCTGGATTATAGTCTTTGGAGGGGTATAAGATAGGCATCAAAGAATCGCCAAATGGTCCCCTGTTCAACTGACTCCTGCCCTGGATAATCCAACCTTATGATATCCCGTTGCCAGAGAGCAACTTACGAATCTCTGCTATCGGCCCGGACGGGAGTGCTCAGCCATTGCCGATGCCGCACTATTTCCGTCAAAGGGATGTTATCCAACCTAAATCAGCTATCCTCGCTGGCTATAAGGTTGATTCTAGAATTATCAGCCTGGCTGTATAATACGTGTCGACCAGACAGAAAGTTAATCCGGCTGCTGACCACCAAACATGGGCTTCATCGTGATCCAATGGATCCTGTGTAACATACTATAATAATTGGTCTGAGGCTGTTTTATCCACAAAGCAGCCGTCTCATTGGCGATGTACCTGCTTTCTCGGCTAGGCGCTGAGGGTGGAATAATAGACCCAAGTATATCACCCATCACATCCTCATAAGTAGAGGTGGAAAGATCCCCCGTATAGCGCTAGGAACCCCTGGCCTGTGCTTTGGCGGTTGTTCATCCCGCATGGACCACATTCCATTATTAGTCAACCAACTCATGTGAACTTGAATCAGAGCTTTCAAGCTGTTTGATCTGTAGTAGCTGAGTTTGCAACTAAGATTGGCTTTATATTCGTGTGTAACCAAACCAGCCACCAACACGTCAGCCTTGGTCAGATCTTGCACAGCCAAGTCAAAACCAAAGTCATTTTAATCATGTGCCATGGCCCTCAACTTGTCATTGAGAAAATATATTAGTTATAGTATAAGCAGAGTATCTACCGCCCTAGTACTGAGGGCGCGAATAGCCACGACTTACAGTGCCGGGCGCATTAACTACCCATCGTTTGTGCCTTAGATGCGACCTTTAGCCCACTAAGCTATATTTCGTTCGGTACTACGACATATATATATATAATATATATACTAACATATAGTATGAAACATACTAATCTTCTAATCTTACTACTAACTCGAATTTATCTCCGACTCTTTCAGACACAAGACATTTATGTCATGATTAGTACCAAAACTACATGTATCCGTTTATAACACGCCAGGAATACCACCTAACAGCTGGCTAATCTAGTCACTGCTAGCATCTTACCCGTTTATATCTTCTTGTCTGCATCGTACAACCACATTCCGCTACACTACTACCAACAAGACTTATAAGGAGACATCCTAAACAATTTGTGCCGGCAAGATATAATTCCCGAGTACTACACTGAATCAACAATCTCTAACCAGTATACTAACCCTGACTAGTACATTTACTAACCCTCTCTTACCCCGGACTAGGCCCAACCTATTTGGTAGTACTTTATTCCTACTGAAAGCAACCGGACCTGAATAACTGCTCTCATTAACCACCTCCATAGCTAATATATACACAGTAATACATACAGCAATAGTCAACATCTATCAGTATCTGACCCCTAGTCCACCGACAATACCCACAGCAGTCTGCAAACAACATCAACCACAACCACCAATTTCAGTCAATCAACCTGAGCAGATAAGCCATCACCCCTTCTTAAACCCCTCAATCTCAATAGACACCGCCGTCACATAGAACAAAATCTCATACCTTCCACTGCACCATTACATCCACCATCACTACCACCATACCAAATCAGTCATCAATCACCACGCACTCACCAGCATGAACAATCACTCCTCCTCCGCCTCCACCACCACCACCATCAGCACCATCACCCTCCACACCCTTCACACCCTTCACACCCCCCTCTCCCCCCTCCCCCTCCTCAACCTTAACCTCCACCATCTCCTCATCCCCCACAACCGCCCACCCCAAACTCGCCACATTGGCCGCCAAAAACCCATCAAACCTCTCCACCACCCCCCTAGCACACCCATCCACCACACACCGAAACCTCCCCTTAACCCTCTCCTTAACACAAACCGCCGTACTAAGCAACTGCAACGACCGACCCACACCCAGAGGCACCCACCCACCCCTCGACGCAAGATTGAAGACCATATACCAGACATCATGACCCCGGGGAATAGCCCTGCACGCGACACGCCAATTCCCCATAAGCTTATCAAAGCCCGGCCACGAGATCGCGCAGATATTATTGCAATCGTTGTTAAGGATCACGGGGTGGGTGGTGCTGGGCATGCAGGGGAGGCGGGGCGGGGTGATGCAGTGCATGTTGGGGTCAGTGGCGCAGTCGAAGAAGAATAGACTGTCCCGGTTGTGGGATGAGAAGGGTAGTGGGTGTGGTGAGCATGGGAGGTAGCCGATTTGCAGGTCGTGGAGGAGGTAGAGTCGGATGTAGTGTGCGTGTCGGGTGAGGAGGGTGTAGGTGGTTGGGTTGGTGAAGGCGTGGTAGAGGGAGTGGGGGTCGCGGAAGGCGAGGATGTAGGAGGTTGGGTTGCTGATTATGATGTTGGGGTCGATTGTTGTTGTTGTGGGTTGGGAGGTGTTGGATAGGATGCAGATTGGGTGGTTGTTGGCGTCGATGTGGAGGAGGATTTCGGTTTGGGGGTGCTGGTCTTGAACTTGGGCTTGGGGTGGGTAGGGGATGAGGTGGATTTCGGGGCCGGGTTGGATTTGGGGTTGAGGTTGAGGTTGAGGTTGAGGTTGAGTTCGAGGTTGAGCTCGAGGATAGGCTTGAGGATGGGCTTGAGGTTGGATTTGAGGTTGAATCTGAGATTGGATTTGAGGTTGAATTTGAGGTTGGATTTGAGGTTGGATTTGAGGTTGGATTTGAGGTTGGATTTGGGTTTGGACATGGTGATTGTTGTTCGTGGCCTGGTTCATGGGCTGTGCCATGCTTTGGTTCGTGGTTGGATTGTGGTGTTCCATTTTGTGTATGGTTGTTCTTATAGTAGGGTTGGATGGTAGAGGATTGAGGTTGTTGGGATTGATGTAGTGCTTGTATGTATGAGGAGTAAAGGACGACGACGAAGACGAAGAGAAGAACGGAGAGAGAAGATGCAATGGAGAAGACGAAAAGGCTCATCCTGTATAGTTTTGTATATACTTAACCTAACACATCTTGCTGCCATATAGGGCATTCTGTTTATAGCCGTGAATGAGCTTTTATGCTCCAATCGCCCGGGTGTCAATCGTTCCGATGCATCATGATGCAATTACTGAGGCACAGTGAAGAGATTCACTCCGGCGCAGTTGTTCATAACACCAGACTGCATATTGGTGGCGGGTTGAGCAGGTTTGAAGCTGCTATATGGAGATATATAACTGACCCAGTTATACTAGCTACCGCTAGTGTGCAAATGGCGCTAAGGATCAGAGTGGTGAATTGATGAGCGTTAGGGCAAGGACACTACTGCACGTAGGCGTTTCTAGAATGTATGAAAAATTAGCAGATAGTTATATTAGTATTGCTCATATTGATATATAAGTAACGTCATTCTCAAAGCATGTTATTGCCTCAACACACTAGTCTTCTCACATAAGTCATCCACCCATCACCTAAGTTAGACCACCCATAAACAATGTAACAATCACAACCAGACACAATCTAAGTCTCAATAGCCTTAGCCCTCAGCCCAACAACCAATCCCTCTGTCCCATCCAGCGCCAGAACAAAGTACTCCACTCTCGACCTGGCCACCTCAACCCGATAGACCTTGACAGCCGCGCCCTCCTCATCCCCCACGGCAGCCCGGACTGCCCTCACCACCCCGGCATACTGATTCTTCGGGTCAAACGTTGAGAATGTCAATGTCTCAATGGAGTTGGAGAGGTCCGCGTCGGGAGAAACAAGGTTGGAGAGAGCAGCTGTTATCACATTTCCATTGGCTCAGATCGATCCAGTATACTCAAGATATGCAACTCACCTGCATCAGGCCAGATCCCCCGCTCCGCATCAGGCCATTTCAAAGCAACAGGTTCAAACGGCTCATCGGTTTCGGAGACGTAGAAGGCATCGACAGAGGTGAGGGGCGTGGGGACGCGGACATTGGTGTGGATGGTTTGGGTGCGTGGGGTGGAAGAAGTGTTGTCTCGTTGGGGCTGGAATTGGCTGGCATTGAGGTCTGCGTTGGCCTTGTTCAGGAAGGACATGTAGTCGTTGTCGGAGGACATGGTGCGAGTGTGAAGAGGGGTGATGATGGTGGTGTTGGATGCTGGTTTTGGGGTTGTGGAGAAAATGTAGGGACTGCGTTGGTTATGGGTTCGAGATGAATATTGATGGCAGCGGTGCTGGTGATATGATCGAGTAATCTGGGCAGATTGCTGGAGCTGAAATAGTGAGGGGCGAGCAGAAGATGAGGAAATTGAAGCCCAAGGCACGAGGGGATCAATGACGCAATGGCCAGTGCGGCTGAGCGGCCAGCGGCGCAGACTTGCGGCGGTCATCTGATTGGTGCTGAGATGGGCAACAGAGGGAATGAATGAATGGATGGCTTCTAGAAGGATAGAGTGGGACAGGCTCAGATAAGCAGCCAGTGAAGAGGTCGAAGGATGGATAAGTGTTGGCAGAGCCCCTGATCTTGGTTGTCTTGAACGGGATATGGCGACCCGATCGAGGAAAATTTGCATCGGAGTCTACGCACACACCATGCCTTGCCTAGTAGGCAGAAACCTCTCATGAAGATTTTTTTTCTGAGGTCTCTATACTGCGGTGGTCTAGGCAGATAAACAGTTAAATCCAACACATTATTATTGCTACGTAAACTACCGTGACACCATAGGACAAAAGTGAAAGGTATTCTTCGCTTTTATTGAAACGTAATATAATTTGCACTACACCGAACCATTGCCATAAACACCTTAAGCGGAAGTCTCCAGGTCCTTCTTGAGGGTACCCATGAAGGCGCGCTTCTCCTCGGGGGTCTGGAAAGCACCGTGACCGAACTTGGAGGAGGTATCGATCCACTTGAGCTCGATCTTCTCGGTGGCCCTGCGGCTGGTCTGGGGGTACAGGGTCTTGCGGAGGGTCATGACACGCTTCTTAACACCGGGGACGGAACCCTTAAGGAGAACGAAGTCGTTCTTGACCTCACCGTAGTGAACGAAGCCACCCATGCTAGATTGTGTTGTTAGCGTCAATGCTTCTCAACCTTCAGGTAGAGGCTACTTACGGGGTGATCTGCTTCTTGGAGATGTCGAACTCGGTAGAGGCGTTACCCTCGTCGGAACCCTTGCCAACACGGAAGACCTTGTGGTTGCAAGAGGTACGGTGGTGGTAACCCATCTGACCAGCACGGGCAACAGTCCACTGGACGTGGTTAGGGTGCCAGGCACCGATACAAGCGACCTTACGCAGACCCTTGTGAGTCTTACGGGGAAGCTTCTTGGTGCCCCAACGGCTGGTGACACCCTGGAAACCGTGACCCTTGGTGACGGCGATGACATCGATCATCTCGTCCTTCTCGAAGATGGAGTCGATCTCGATGGGCTTCTCGAACAGGTTGCGGGCGAAGTCAACCTTGTCGGCAACGGAGCCACCGTTGACCTGGATCTCCATCAAGTGGGCCTTCTTCTGCTTGAGGGGAGTCTTGCGGACTTGAGTGTGGGCGAGGACACGGACGACAGTGCAGTACTTCTTGACGCGCTCGAGCTCGCGGGTGATGGAAGCACCGTTCTCCTCGGCGTGCTTCTTGGCGTACTTGGTGAAAGCCTTCTTCTTGCTCTTGTACCAGTTCTTGTAGAAGCGGCGCTTGACCTCGTCGCTCAGGTGCTCAGCCCAGACGGTGGTGAGAGAGCGGAGACCACGGGGAGTCTCAATGTAACCGACAACACCGACAGCGACAAGCTAGAAAAATCAAAGTATGTCAGTCATTGAACGGATCCACATCACCAGGCCAGAAGGGAAAAAGATTTTTTCTTCTGCCTTCTTCCTACCAAGGGGTCCAACGTACGGGAGGAGTCTCGATGACGGTAGCAGCCTCGACAACTTCCTTCTTGTGCATCTTGGCACCAGGACGGTCAAGGTCACGGACGACGGTGGTCATACCGGCCTTGTAGCCCATGGTGGCCGTCAGGTGGACGGGCTTCTTGGGGTCATCCTTGGGGAAGCTGCCGAACAGTTCAGTATATGTCCATCAAATCCCAACTTTTTCGTCTCGTCTTCGTAGTCGAAAAAACTAACCTCTTGACCTTTCCGCGGTGGCGGGCGGCGCGCTTGCGGGGCAGGTAGGCAAGAGAGCCTGTCGAAATCCAAGTCAGTATACCATCCACACACAAGACCTCGAGATTCCAATATCGCTTGAGAGGTCGCAAAGTAGGTTGACGAACCGTGCCGAGGCGCTTCGTACTTCCGGTGACTCCTGTAAAATGAAATGAATCAGCGACATTATCCCTCGAGGTCAACAATTGTCATAATGCGGCAGGTCCTAACTTACATCTTGACCCTGTTGTCGTTAGTCGTCGAAGTGGTGAGTGAGAGTGTCTATCTCTGAGTTTGCCGAAAGTCGTATTTTGCACGCTTAACGAATGTGGGCTGATCTAAGCGAATTCTTGGCGGCTATTTCCCATTCGGGTTAAGCGACCACGGGACCGAGACCTGCGTTCCTTTCTGCCTCAGGCAGCCACAACCCATGGTCACGAGGTTCCTGCTGTCGGGCGAATCTCCCGGTCGGCAATATTACCAGATCCAGTGCCCTCCTCCAAGTGTCTGCGCCATTGCCCTACTTAGGGTATTCTGCTGCGTGCCCATCCACAATGTTGGAAAGGCCATCCATGCACACTATATACACTATGTTTATGCAGGAATCTACTGCTGACTACGTTGGCCAACGAAACACGGCAGGCTGCAAGGCTGTACGATCACTGACCGAAAACCGTTTGACCTGGATTTGACCCGACACCCACCGGAGTCCCAGACCCAGAATTAAACGCCCCCGTAAGGACCGTCCCCACGATTGAAACGCACGGTGAGACTTGGCGCTTAGTAGCCTCCGTAGATGCTCGCCGCGCCCATTACCAACTTTCTGGTCTGGCTGATCTCCCAGTCTCATTACAATCTACCTGTTTCAATTACCCTTATCGTTGCCATACGTGCGAGATAAATTATCATCGTTAGAAATGGAGTAGAATGTAGATCAATGTATTGGGGTTTCCGAGCTGCCCAGGTGAGTATATCACCTAGCAGGAAGTACTCATTCACAGACACGCACACAAAATTGAATAGAAACTTGGGAAACAAATGACCATCAAGACCGCCCCTCAAATGCCAATCCTACAATACAAACAAGCCTGGGTGGTAAAACAGTACATGAACGGAACTGCCACCGAAAGTCGGAAAAGAAATATATAGACGAATTCAAGGAAACAGAAGGGGAGCAAACGAGGGCAGTGTAACTTCTCATGACGAAAACTTTCATTCGGACTCTTCTTTCCTTAGAGCCGCGTTAAACCCATCGATCCACCTCACATAATACATCAAGTGGTGCCGCACCACAAGCTTCTAAACCGCAGATTCCGGCTTCGCCGGCGTAGGTGGGTTGCCAGTACTCAGGACACCATTGCTGCCGTTGTTGCTCGACCCAGCAGCATGCGGGCTTCCCTTCACCACAGCACTAGCTCGTTTCTCATCATCGTCATCATCGTAGTTTTCATCCACGTCCATCTTCCGCGCCGCAGGCTCATGTGCAGGCGCCTGTTCGCCGCGCGCGGGCTCCTCCTTCACCTGAACCTGAGCGGAAGAGGGTCCGGATGGCGGTCCGTTAGAAGGCGCAGCAGAGCTTTCGGCCATAGGAGGGAGGCTGGGGCCACCAGACGGGTGAGGGGGCATGTGCTGGATAGAAGGCAACGTAGGAGGATGGTGGGCCGCCTCAGACGGATGGTAGTTCTCGTTGACGCGGCGCTGGTCCTCACGGCGGATTTCCGAAGAACTGCGTCGCTGCATCTCCCCGGGGGAGGGCATACGGTTGGGGGGAGTGACACGACGAGACAGCTGATCATCGAGGCGAGCACGGCTCTCTTCATTGGCGATCTTCTTGGCCGGTCCGGCTTCCGCCTCCCACTCTCGGCCACGCTTCATAGCCGAACCAGGACGTTCTTCACGCTCGCGAGCGGCAGCCTCAGCAGCACTGATAGCAGAGGCCGGAGGAGGAGCACCGCCAGCAATGCCGGCAGGGAGACTAGGGCCGTGGTGATACTGCTGGTGCGGGTAAGTAGAGCCGGGCGATGAAGGCCGTTCATCACGCAGAGGTCGAACCTCCGTGGGCGGGGTGAACGGGCGATGGTAAGGAGGCAGAGCGTTAGCTGACGCAGGGCCATTTGGACCACCCGGAGCAGCGGGGGGACCGGGAGGAGCAGGCGGCAAGGGACCACGAGTAGCTGGCGAGAAGGCCGTCGCGGCAGAAGTACGATCGAGGGCGTTAGGTGGGGGGTTGGCAAGCTGAAGGCCATGGGGCTGTCCGTAAACACCCGGGCCGGTAAGGGTAGTCTTCGGGGAGCGGGTTGGCTGCGCACGCATAGCATCGGGGAAGCCTCTTCCGGGTTCTTGTCGCGGGCTTGGTTGCTGTAGAGAGGCGGGAGCACGGACGGCGTCACGGTGGTCAAAACCATTGGCGGCTTGTGCCTGTGCCTGTGACTGGAGTTCATTGATGCCACGGTTCCAGTCAGCTATCTGTCTTGGTGGAGCGGGAGCCTGCGGGGGTGGACCACCGGTTGGCGCTGGTGCACCCCATTGAGGCGCCGGAGGCGCTCCTACGCCAGGAGCTTGATAAGCCTGGGGATGGACATCCTGCGGTTGAGGAGCGGGAGCGTTGCCCTGACTGGAACCGGACAATTGGCTTTGAAGGAGTTGCAGGCGCGCTTTGATATGGACATTGGTCGGGTCGAGATCCGCAGCCCGACCGTACGCATCAAGTGCGTCCGCAATCTGGTTGTTGCAAGACTCGTACTGCTCACACGTTAGTGGTTCCACCGAACGGCTCACATCGGGCGTGAACACTCACCAGAGTTCCCAGATCGTACCACACTTCGGAAATGTAGGGATTCAAACGAATAGCACGAGAATAAGCATCCAACGCATCGCGGTACTGATTGATCTGGTAATAGAGTACACCAATCGAGCACCAGAAAGTCGGATTCCGACCGTCGCGGTAAACGGCTTGCTGATACGCTTCATAGGCCTTGGGGTACTTGGCTTGCGACATGTAGCAGCGACCGAGAAGATACCAGCTTTGGGCATCGCTGTTGTCTGATGGAATATGAGCGGAAGAAATGCGTACACCGATGCAAAAGACCTACCTGCGCTGACAGACTTCTCAAGGAACTCAATGGCCTTCTCCTGGCTAGTGTAGTTGTTGCTCTGTTGATGGAACAGCCATCCAAGCTGTTGCAGAACCTTCGCGTGGTTGGGATCACGGTCCAGGACGCGCCGGTACGCTTGCTGCGCAGCTTCGAACTGCAAATTCGTTAGTCATCATAATCGTCATTCTTCTCGGTGTTGAGAAAGCCCATACATCCTTCTGCTGTTCATGGACATGGCCGATCTGGAACCAGATGTCCTCTTCCGTCAATGGGCGAGGGGGGTCGGCAACGATGTATTTGAAACACTGATTGAATCAGCACAAGAACGAGACGGTATAGTAACCTTCTGAACATACCTCCAAACTCTGAGTGAATTTCTGCTGCTGCTTGTATATTATTCCCAGTCTGAAGTAGATCTCATTGGCCTTTTCAAAATCAGGGGCCATGCGCATGACCTGGGAAAAGGCCTCTTCGGCGTGATCGAGAGAGCCATAGCGATCGTAAAGGATACCGATGCCATACCACAACTTGGGCTCCTAGAAGAGAAGGAACGTTAGTCATTGCTCTCGCACATCATGCGTGCGATTTCACTAACCTTGGGATCGCGCAAGTGGTACAGAGCCTGTTGGTAAGAGGTATACGCCTCTTGCAGATTATCCATCATCAGATGACAATGACCTAAGAAGCGACTGTTGTCAGCACACCAAAAAATGTAAGCGATACCAAGGTTAAGTACCTAAACTGCCCCAAGTTTCTCCACTTGTCGGATCCAACTTGAGAATATTCTGAAGATACTCAATCGCCTTGGGAAATTGTTCCTTTGTCCGCAGAATACACGAGATCGCGTTCATCGCAGGGATTGACCACTGGTTGTGCCGTAAAGCTTGCTCGTATGCGTTCATGGCACCATCCAAATCGCCGATCATTTCGGTAAGGTTTCCTGTGCGAAAACTGTCAGCAGCCGTCGCTTTGCTTAACGGTCGGCGCGTTCTGCTATCGAGACACAGATGAGCCATTAACTTACCGATTTGAAGCCAAACCTGCTCGTTGAGTGCGGCGATCTTCTGAGCAGTGCTCAGAGGAGGACCTTTCTGGCTTTGAGTCTGCAGCGGCATGTGGCCATTAACCTGGGGGTGAGCTGCGAGATGGCCATGGTGAGGAGTGACGCCCCCGGTGGGAGACGGTTGGGTATGAGCCATCGTGGCCGGTCGACGTTAACACGGAACGCAATATATCCAGGCGTTGACAGGGTGAAGCGTTTAGTTCGCCTTTGCGACACAGGTGATGCAATGAGCGCCCGTGTCACTGAGAGGTCGCACAGTCCCGATGGACGTAGTCGCGCAAGCCAGTCACCCAATGATGTTCAAACGAAGCGCGACCGCGTCCGGGAAAACGGTTCCCAAGATAACTGCCGCGCTAGCGAGTCTAGAACTAAACGTCGTCACGACGACGGGGTGCAATTGAAGGAATGCGAAACGGGACGATTCCTAGTCGCTCGTGGTGAGGTAGATGCTGCGAAATTCGAGCGGCAAAGAACGTGCAGGATCAATCAAGTCCAAAATGCAGGTATATGGCTGGGAACGGAACGGAACAAGCGTGTGGAGCGACAATCAAAAACTACGGGGAAGGGGGCAAAGGATTGAAAAAGGCACGAGTAAGAAAGAAGCAAGATGAGGCAAAAGCGGGCGGGAAGGCTGAGAGAGTGGGAAGATAAAAGTGAGGGATGGGGGAAGTGGAATTGGTAGACGAAGGGCCAGGCAGAGGTCAAGTTACGGGGTAGGGGAAGCCAAAGCAGAAAGGGAAGGGAAGAAGAGAGAGAGAGGGAAAGGAAAGAAGAGAGGGAGAGGAAATGGGAAGAGAGGAGGGAAAGGTCGAGGGGCTGGTGGTAGAGGGCGAAATTTGCCAAGCGGCGCTAGTGGTTGTGCAGCTCTCCAGCAGTCAGCGAAACCAAAGGAAAGCACGGAAAAGCTGAGATGGCGGTCGTCCGGCGCCAAGCCGAAGACAGGCAGCTTTACGTCCAGGAACGGCCTAGCGGGTGGGGACAACCTGGAGTCGTGTCCGCGGGTATTTACAGTTAATATTTTCCGGGCGCCCGGAAACTCAGGTGAGCGCCGGAGGATGCATTCACCCAAGCTAGATACTCTTATAAGCATCATGCAGACCACGGCACCAGTGAGATAATAATAAAAATGATTATCTATAAGTAAATTACTGTAAGAAGAACAAATGAGCAGCACGCTATGCTCTTTTACGATATCGCCTATTATTCCAAGTTTAGCCCTCTACTCAAGTGGATTCATGTACGATACTCTGATATGAAGCGATCGCCTTGTCAAGGGCGGAAGACAGCGAGAAAGAAGTCGAGAAAGAAGAATAACGATGAGATTATTTTTATACGGATACAAGCGACATAAAATATGTATCTCATAACACCCGCCTGTATTCTATGCGTGCAAGGTCACGGGAACTTCCTCAGATTTTAATTCACTGATTCCTTGCCTCTTTTTTGTCGCTTCTTGCTAAACCCAGCTGCTCTCTCTCTCTCTATCTAATGAGGGGGAATATGGCAGTGTGATTGTGCTGTGGACAAGGGCTTAGCGTCATGCTGGCAGGTGGGGCGGATGTGATGGTTACGAGTTAAGTTAAGAGCAAATTTAAGAGAAAAGGGAAAAAATAATAATTTAGGAAATGACATGAATAAGAATAAAAGAAGAAAAGGGAGAAAAATAAAAATGAGCGACTATGAGCAGTAGCCTCAAATTGACTAGAGTGGATAAAATGGAGGGAGAGGAGGGGGGCCACACTTCTGGTGGGACGGGTTCAGCGAAAGGTTTAGTGGGTATGGAGTCGAACCGCCCCGAAACAGGGCAGTGTTTGACGAGGATGCAAGCGCCGGAGCCAGGAAGGCACCTCCAGGGATGGGATGGAGAGGGAGGAGGGGGGTGGTTGTGTGGTAAGTCTAGCACGAACCCCCGGTTGTGACTCGCCGATGGGGGCCTGCAGGTGGGCCATGGAACCTAGACCCACCCGGACTAACCTCTCTTCCCCGTGCCCATTTTTATTTTATTTATTTTATTATTTAATAAATTAGTGCCATATGTACGGAGGGCCGCCAATAATTCCTGACTGCGGCTGTGGGGCCCTCAACCGACATGCTGCGCTACCTGACTGGTGTATGGCCATAAGCTCAACCACCTAAGCTCCCGGCAGCCTAGTCAGGCATGAGGCGTACTCCACACTCGGACCACCTGCAAAGTCCAAATGTTGCAGTCGCCCCCCCTCTCTGTCTGTCTCGCTCTCTCTCCCAATGGCTCGCCCAGAAACGGCTTGCTTACTGTGCCCTCCCTCGGTGCCGGACAATACATGCACTTGCGTACAGATGGAGTAGGAGACCCCCTCTACTGTAATGATGAGTCCACGCTCCCAATGCTCGGTCCCATGGTCTTGCCGGTGGCACCCAGCAACGACAGCCGGGTGTGTCAACCAATAAATAACCTAGACCCGAATTCTCCCCCTCCCCTTCCTTCCATCACAGTGATCCCTTTATGCGCTAAATCAGAGTGACCAGGTGTCAGTGCACCCAGCCAATCCTGCATCTTCCCGACTATGCTCAGCGGTCTGCAGGCGCCTCGACTGCCCACATTTTGGGGAGGAAAAGGTACCAAATAGTTCAAACAAAGGGAAAAATCTAAGTTTCTCTGGAACTTCATTGTTAATCGGGGTTTTGTGGGAAGAGTAGTGACGCTTAAACTTAGTATTTGCTAGAGCAGGGTAGCGAATCGGGAGGGCATGTTGCTTTTTCCTCAACTTTTGCCCCTTCCGTCATGGCTCGTTCAGAGGCTTCAGCCGCGGGACTGCCGCAGCGGCAGGCTTATCTAATCACGCTAGGCCAGATCCCACGCATGGGAAATGCCACCTACCGGCACCAGCCACCAGCCACAGATTCTTAACGGATTCCTTTGAGTGGGCCGTTCCCGATGCTGATCCGTCGGCTCTTCTGTTGGTGTCGATGATCTTGATACATCACCTGGGTGGGCCGATCCTTTGTGTCCTTTTTTCCCACATTTTTCTTTTCTTTCCTTTTTTTAACAGTACTTCCCTTTTCGCTCTTTTCCCTCTCTCCTACCCTTTTTCGCCCTCCTAATTCATCTCTTTTCCCTCCCCCCCTTCTTCCGCACTAACTGGCAACCGCACGGGACTACGAAAATAACAATAAGCCACCTAACAGGCTAACACACTCTCCCTCCCAACACTGTCATTTGCATTGATTCTTCGGAAGGCTACGCTCCCCCCTTTGGGACCTTTTTGCAGCTTTGCCATATCAGGGTCCCAATACCGAGCGACTAACTAAAAATGGGCACAGTGGGAGCTTCTAGCGACGGGTGGATAATAAGGTGTGACTTTCACTATTCAGGAAAGGAGTGATTCATGATGAGCGGCTTCGGGCCCCTATTCTCGTGTCGGATCCGAGTGCCTTTTTTCCAAATCAAGTCGCTCCTAAAGGTCGGACTTGGCCAACATCGACAACAATCAAGTTTATTTTATATTTATACACCCCCACAATCCAGAAGATGGATGGAGTCCGTATGTAAAAAGAGAATAAAAAAAGAGAAGGAACTACCAAGCAAGTAATATAGGGGCATTTTTACCCCATACTATAACCCCCCTAGTAGTAGTAGTACCACCACGACCACCCCTTGTCTAGCAAAGAGATGAGTGACAGTCACTTCAGCCCAGTGGAGGCAAAGGCAAGGCACGGATTCTCTCCATCTTACATACCAGATCGCAAACCCGGCCGACCGGAGCTGCCACCCACCCAGTTATCCACCCATTCTTCGCAACCGGCATACGGTGATGAATGCCGCCCAGCAATGTACCTGAAACACGATAGCAGGAGCACAAACAATGCATTGACAATGTGGTCGGTATGTGGGTTACTCGGGCAGATTTGTATCGCAAGGGGGTGAGCAACTCAACCCTTTCGACGGAATACATCGGTTTGTTCTATTCTTGTCCAACGCAGTGCTTGCTGGCTTACTTGCTTGCTTGTCTGCCTGCTTTAAGTACAGCAAAGGAGGCCAAATATGCATGCACATAATTCAGGCTAATCGCTCACGCTAGTAGATAGATAGATAGATAGGGAGCTTCGTTTCTCCCTTCCATTCACCTTCTTCATATTACGAACGACACAAGTCAATAGACAATTGTACTATAGCCCAGCACATACTAGCACCAACACCGATTGGATTAATCTAACTAACCATTGTCCCCATTCATTAGATTAATCCCTGTTTTTATTAGCCACTTAGTTGCTTGCAGCTTGTTATCATCACCCATGCACGCACGGCGCTTACTATGAAGCAACTTTTTACCGGCGAGTAGGAGGGCCCCATATGCAACATACAACCCGAACAAGCGGACAGGCAAGTAGATAAATAAGTAGGCAGGCAGACAAGACAGACTACACTAGACACACCGACGCCCTCATGGATATTCCTGTATGTAGGTCAAGGAATCTAGAAACTGCAAGCTAGGTAGATACATAAAAGCCAAAAAACCAAACTAACTTTCCAGATTCCACGACACACACACACAGCAGACACGCTCACCCCCGACATACTCCGTACATATTTCGTTCCACCTGTACGACGCCTTTTGACAGGCTGATCTGATGACTGCCGATGGTTTATGCAGGTATGCCTGCTGCTGCGCCAGTTTGCGCGCACAGGGACCCAGCCAGCGCTAGGGACGAAAAAGAAAAGCAGGAAAATTGGGGGGGAAAAAAGAAAATATATACTTAACTATGGGATAAGTGAACAAAGTTATAAGAATTTTTGAATTTGGCGCAGGGAAAATATAAAAAAAAAAAAAAAATGGAAAATGGAAAATGGAAAATCTAAATAAAATATATTATTTCTTCGATATTAAAAACGGACGTGACAGGGCAGGCAACCTACTTACCTACTACTAGTTACTACTGACTGCTAACCGCCAGAAAGAACTAACTGGGTTGTCATGGATTCCCATGAGTCTCGTCTCCTCTTTTTCTTTACCCCCCGAGGCCGAGCGCGCGCGCGCCTCGCCCCTCTCTTCTCCCCCTTCCCTTCCCTTCCCTTCTCTTTTCCCCGTTCTGCCAACGTTACACAACATCATGCGATCCACTCTTTAGTAGCTGCTGCTGCTTCTGCCGCCGCTTTCACACAATCCTTCTATGTATGTACTTATGTACCTAAGTATGTAGGCAGATAGCTAGCCAGGTAGGGATTGCATAACTCTTGCTTTTTCTCCCTCCCGCCGGGTCAGTCCGTCGACCTACCTAGTATCTGTCAGTGTGTCTCACAAGTTCCCAGCCCACTGGCCGGCCCATGTACCAAGCAAGCAGTAGACCACATGTGTTGTATACATCCGCATTAAGAAAAGAAATTCGCATGAAATAAAAAAGAAAAATCGACAGGTCATCATCATCATCATCATCATCGGTCAATATATTCCTCCAACTACATCCATCTGTCATCACATCCACATCACATCTCATCGAGATGCTTCCAGGAAGATAAACCTAATCACTGTACGACTTGAGCGAAACCTTGGGTTTTATTTCTCCCTCCCCCCTTCCCTGAACCAACCATAAGAACAGCAACAATAATAGTCATGATAATGATAATATTTAGTAAGTTGATTCAGCCCCCAAAGTAAGTAGCCAGGGTAGTCTAACCATTAACCAACATAAACCCTTTCCAATCTACTAGTTAGTAGAATAGTCTACTTACTAAGGGGATGGTACCCCTCAGGCACAGACCACACGTTTTGGGTCTAGCCGACCAACCGAAAATGTCACCTTCGGCATGGCCCGGCTTCCGGTGACGGCGACGACGACGGTCGGTCAGCCAGCATGCCAGGTGTGGTGTTGGTATTTTATGCCTTGGTGCCTTAGCTTGCTGAGCTAACTTACCTCTATTGTACTAGTACCAATTAGGTAGCTAGGGTAAGGGTAAGTCCTGTCCTGTCCTGCAAGCGGAGCGCACCACAAATGCAACTTGGCCCCCTACTTTGTCTCATCATCATCATCATCATCATCACCATCATCAGCATTTACATTTCTGGAACGAGTTCGGGACCCAGAAATCTTCAATCCAGATAATTTTGCATGGTACCAACCTACTTAATATGAACTTAGTTAATAGATAGAACCAGACACGCTGACATAATAATGACCCTATTCATCATCATCATCATCTTCTTCTTCTTCTTCATCTTCGGGTAGATAGATAATACACACAAACCACAAGCATAGAGTTTGAACCTTGAAGAGATAATTAGGTTTTCCATCTTTTTTTTTTCTCCCTACTCCATACTTAGTAGAGTACACTATCCACTGTACACTAGCGGGCCTTTTTTTTTTTTTTTTTTCCCTCGGACAGACGAAATGTGGACTATGGATCCCCATCTATCTAGACTACTAACTATTTATTGATTTTCTTTCCTTGGAACGCTACTACCGTATGTAGTCTAGACAATGGAGTGGCATCAATTTTAAGGGGTCAAATTTCCCGAACCACTAAAAAGTTTAGGTATGTAGGTACTAGGTAGGGTAGGTGGATGATTCTAGAGGATCTTCAGTCATATTTCTTATTTTAGTTGTGAATTGAAGGAATAAATAGAACAGAACAGAGGATTACACACAAATATCAACTTTGTTTCTTTTCTCTCCGGTCTCATTAATAACTACTTATTTATTCACTATGTGCTGTGCAGTGTGTGTACTAGAAAGGGAGGGCGGGTAGAGTAACCCGAACCCCATCGACGATCAACGATCACATCAGCTGAGATCATGCTATGCGATGCGATGCGATGAGATGCGATCAGATCTGATCAAAGATCAGCTGTGCTTAGTTACTTACTTACTTAGTCACCTGTTAAGTAAGGTAGTTAGGCAACCTTTATAACAGGAATGGTATGTACAGCAAGTAGGTAAGTAGGTAAGTGGATGCAGGGAAGTACTAAGTAACCTTATCCGTGACGAACTACTAGTTACTACGTAGATGGTCCTGGTGGTACTACTTACATCTCGTGTGGGTGTCTGGACTGGGTCTGGATTTTGAAACGGGGGAAGCATGATGTAGCTGTAAGGGACGGGGAGGGATGAGGTAATGGTCATTTCTTATGTGAGTTCTTTTGTATATGTATGTATGCATGTGTGGGTGGGTATGTATGTGAGAAGTAGGGAAGGATCGATGAGTTGGTGAAGGGTTGTAGCTAGATATAGATGGATGTTACGATGAATGGTATGATAATGGTGAGTATCCATAGTGATATATTTATGTAGTAGAAGATGGACTCCGATTCTATAGTTAACATTGGGTTGCTTGTTTATTACTAGGTTCATGTTAGATGTTACTGGCATGTAGTTCACGATTGTCCCTAAGAGACATACTGTACCATGGACTCATGAGTCTGGATGATCATGTATCGTTGCAGGCTCCAAGTTCAAAGCTACTGTAGCCAACCCGTCCTTAATGTCACTACGCCGTGTTTCTCCAACGTAAACAGTAGCATCATAGTAAGTAGAGCTCTTCATGTGAAATGTCACTATGCTACAGTTGTAAGTCCCAAAGTAGCACAGCCACTTAGCCAATCGACGGGTAAAAGTTAGATATCTGGTCGGGTAAGTAAGTGACAAAGGCATTCTTCAGACACATGTGAATGTGACATTGTTTGCTTCTAGAAGAACCCAAAGATCCTTGGCCTCACTAGTAACACACCATCTACGGTGTATAAGGCGGGCATCTTTCCCGGGCCTGAACCGGGGATCTCACCTGATTATTCCCGGTGGTGAAACAAGCGTCCGGAGGAATATTGGTGAGTTAGCAAGTTACAAGAGATTCTGACGATGACTTGATATGCAGCTGATGGGGCGAAAGAAAAAAGCAAAAGACACCCAGAAATGGCCAGCCACAGCAACATATTCTGCCGACCATGGGGCTATGTTACTTGTTGATTTGACTAGTGTCTGCTGTGACACCCTCCAATGGGACGCAGGGGGGAGATGAAAGTTGATGTGTTATCTAGGCACTTTAATCAACTCCTTGCAGGTGGGGGTCATTTGGTCTTGTCGATTGCGTGAAGTTATGACTGACAAAGATGCGACGGGCAGTACAGACATTCTGGGTAATTAGTGTCGTTGTTGGAAGGCTTGGAACAGATTCCTTGGAGAAAGACTCTGACAATTTAATGGATTTCTCTAGAACTCCGCACAGGACTTGGCAGCCCCAGAGACAGTACTCAATGCGGTCGCTCCGATGTGAGACACCTTCATTGATGATTCAAGGAGTAGGTGTTCGTCTCTTAAGGAGCACATGCGATAGAAACTGACGCAAATTATCGTGTCAGACAGATCAAAGTTATCAGATCGACAAGTTTGACTCATCGCGCCAGCTATCTGTGACGGCCGAGAAGACTTGCATGTATATATGATCCAACTTAGTTTTGAGTCAGCGTTCAGAGACGAAACATGAGGATCGCGATACTTATGATCTGTACTCTTCTGTCGGTGCCATATACAATATCTCAAGCCGCCACCATCAGCAGCTTGCACGCCACTGAGATCCTGCGGCCAACGTTGGCAAGCCACAACGGCAAGGCGTCCACGTATTGAGAACTCCGTACAGCCTAGCGTGGGACAAGCAGAGTGTGAATGGGCATTTGTGCACCCGCGGAGAAGAAGGTCAAGGACCAGCAGTTCACATGGCATTCAGGCGTCGGGAGTGTTGGAATTGAGGGGATGTTCCCGAGGAAAATGGGGGGAGGTATATGCGTAGTGCTACCCTGTACCTTGTAGCATCCCGGACATCGTTCCACAGGGGAACAGCCAATATGGTTCTGTGAAACTTGCATGGAAGCCATGTCTACAGTGCGGGATCGGCCCTATGTCCCTGGCCAAGAGTTACAGGCGCAGGAGAGTTTCCACATCCGAAGTTCTGGGCGTGGCAGCCAAGAACAGTCTGGATCTGGCGGGAGAGGGGATGGGGGACCAACGGGAGAAAACGGTCTGGAAAGTCGGCCAGACGGAGGCTGATCACGAGCAAAAATTTATTGAACATGGGCCTTCAAGCCATGCCACGCAATGATACGCACAGAAGTCCGATCTGATGCGGAGGGAAAGCTGGGAAAGTCAGATTCAGTCGTCATGTCGGCTAAGTCAGAAGGGCACATGGCCCGGCATATGGGCAGTCGTAATCTATCTCTCGGCAACAGAGGGGGGGGGGGGGTGTGATTGGGCATACAGAAGGGTCGCTAAGCCCGGTCGATTGATTCGAAATTCGAAACAAGTGGTTTGGCAGTGAGACTGGCCGAGTCGGTATGTTTAGGATCAACAATGGGTTACCCAGTCGTTGGTTGATAAAGTAGCACGGCATGTTGAAGGAGAAGGACAAGACTTTGGAGACCGCCACCGGACATCGGGTTACCTAATTTATTGATAGGATCGACCAGCTGGACACGAAGCAGAAACACCACCCAAGCCGGGTATACGGCTCTTCCAAGCAGAAGCATGCTAGATAAATAGATACCCGGCGGGGCTGGGCTGGGCTGGGCGCCACTTGTTGGGGGAGAAGATTGTGTGTATTTGGAGGAGAGAAAGAAGGGCCAAGCTGCGTTTCCGAGGTTCAGAGCCAGCCCTGGTCATCGAGATAAATGTATTGTTTGGTCATGATCGTCATACTACTCGACTCGAGGAAGAATAATATGCTTCTTGCGTTTCGTTCTCTCCAACATAATAATATTTAAATGCTCTCCTAGTGGATGGACTCGGGTGAAGTTGCTTAAAGAGGGCATGGCGTTGCAATGGGAGAATTAGTAGATCGGGAACCTGTAACCGGGACGGACAAGAAACACCTCGATTAATGCAGATGTATTATTAGTGATTTGGGGTATTGGCTGCGGTCAGCGCTATGCTAGATGTGATCTGGCCGTAATACCGCCAAGCCGACCAGCCAACCTCCGAATGCGGATCACGGACACGCTCGCAATGCCACCAGCCAATCAAGGATCGTTGCTCGTCCACCAAAATCCCCGCAGGGACTTGGCATCTTGGCACGCGGTACAGATACGGTAACATTGCTCCTGCGACACGCCCAAACACTGCAGATGGGGAGGTGACGGGGCTTGAAATTCCAGACGAAGACGAGGCAGGGAAATACTCTCTTCCTCCTTCCGGTGGGAAGGAAGAGATTGAGATGAAAGATGGAGATAGTAAGTAAGTAGAAAGAGAGGTGGAGCTGAGGAGGAGGAAATCAATTTCTCTTAACTCGTCAGCCAGTGGTGGTGTGTCTGTCCTCCTTTTCCTCCCTTCATTTCTTTTCCCTTTCACTTTAATCAGTGGTTATCTTCAACTTTATCCCCGACCCCCGATCCCTCTCTCTCTCCCCCCGCTACTCGTCCCTTCCGGTAGCTCCTTTTCACTTCTCAAGGCTCCTCAGCCTAGCACCCCATTCCTTCCCTCCGCTCTCCGAACCCGAGGGGGGAGAAAATCTCCCCCTTTCAACCTTCGAGAAATCCTTGGGACCTCGCACGCCATGGTGTTGGCCGTGACACTCTCTTGACGTTGCCCATGCCAAGGGCTCGGCAGCTGGGCGTCTTGGCGGCGAAAAAGCAGACCAGAACCAGAACTACTCTATCCCCCCCCCCTCCCTTCCGCTGCATTTGTCCTGGGACAAGACAAGACCAACCGGTCTCTTGGTCCTGTTCTTGGACGTTCCGCTCTGTCTCTTTTTGTCTTGGGAAGGGTAGTGAAAGGAAAAAAAAAAAGTCGTCCATGGCATTCTTCTTATAAGTCACCCTACCTGCCCTTCCGCTCCTGTCCTCCATTCCTCTCCTCCCCCCTCTCCTCCTCCTCTCCTCCCTCCCCTCTTCCTCCTGCGCTTCAATCCTCTCCCCCCTCTCGAATCTCCGCCTTGCTCTGGATCTCTCCATCCCTCCCCCTAGTCCCGTCAGGACCGATAAGCTATAAGCTCCGGTACATGCCTTGAGATCGTTATGCCCCTTGCACCTAGAGCCATGCGGTGAACTTCATCCCTGCAGCTGCTCTCTTCACAGTTCACACAGTATCTCTGTGCGTGTGTACTCTCTGGTACCACCTTGTGTTGCTCCTGCGGCATTTCTCAAGGGGGTAGCATTTCCTGTCGCGCCCTTGATTGCTCCACCGACTCCCCTCTCTACTCTCCCTCTCGGTGCCTACCTATTACCCCCCTCCTTCCTCTACTCCGCCCGTAATGGAGCAGCCGGAAATGTCCCAGCCTGCTACCCACCGTCAAGATGATAGTCACCTCGTGACAGCTTATTTTCCGAACCCAACACCCACTGTGCCTGCTGCTGCAGCACATCCTCCCCCACACATTCTGCCGTCGCACTCGTCGCCATCACCTCACCACTATCATTCAGAGGTTGACACCTCTCCATCGGAATTTCACTATCTTGACGACTCCCATCACATCTCACACCCTGAATATCAGCAGCCACAACGGCATTCTCGACGACAGCATAGCCTATCACAGCAAGCCCCACAGACTGGGGAACATCTATATCCGGATTTGGGGCAGGCTTCGGTGCCTCCAGAGGCGTCGGTTGCCTCGCCTTATCACGAGAACGGCTCCGTATTATCTCGGGCTTCAGGTGCAAGCGAAGTCGGGCGCAAAGAAGGGCGCGTTCGTGGGAGTTGGACCGATCATTCGTCATATATGTCGGGAGACAATCACCCCAATGGCGCATCTCGCGTACATAAACGAGCGATTCATGACGATGACATAGCCCCGGAGGAAGAGCCGGACGCGCTGTTAATGCTGGTGAGCTTTGTCTAATTCCGAATAACTAGTTATTTCGGCCCGTAGCTAACCGCACTGGATATTAGTTCCGACTCTCCATCCCCGTTCCCGTATTCTCCTTCTGCGCATCGTTGTATACCATCTTCGGCGTGCTCTTCGTCCTCCTTGTCTCACCGCTTCGCATCTGTTCCTGCATACCCTACTTTCGGGCGACGTCCTTCCGGGCACAACTGTGCGGTCTGCTGATACCCCAGTTGCATATTCATGAACGACTGGTCTGCTTGCGACAATCTTCTTCAAGATCATCATCCACCCAGCCGATATATGACCCGGAGGGATCCTATGTGGCAGAATCCATCGACTCGTATTCAATCGGAGGCCTGCTCACCGTCCTCCTTCTATCGCCGTTCCTATCCATCGCCATAACTCTCCTGGCCTGGATTGCAGCATTTTTCTGGATATTCGCCATGGTTCTAGGCAATCCAGATGGCACAGAGCGCAAAGACGATGGCCGAGCAGCCGTTCTCGGGGTCTGCCGATGGTGGCAGATTTGGCTTGGCAAAGCCCGTAAGCCACTCGCTTAGCGTATCGGTGTGAACCACCCTTGTGGATATGAAATTCGCTTTGATCAAGTCAATCCCGTTGTTTGATGCCGGCATGATACCAACGTTTGGGATATGTGGAATGATCTTCTTGAGGCGCCATCTTTTGTTTTCTTTTCGATTTTATCCCCATTTTATTTCTTATTCATTTTTTCTTGTCTTCAGTCAGATGACTGATTTGAGGATTCCCTCCGGAGTTGGGATATTGGTCGCCGGCGCGGGGAGTTTATCATCCTTATCACCCATGACTCACGGGCCATCGTAGAAAGGGAACACTGCTATTATGAGATTCTGAAAGCAAAGGAAGGGATTCTAGGAGTTGAGTTGGATCAAAGCGGTCTTCCGGCGAACTGAGCTCACTTTGATTGATTTTTTTCATTTTTTACCCTCTTATTTCCCTTTTCATGTACTCATACAATACCGAGTGAGAATTGATACCCACATTTTGTTGTTTTCTTCGTTTTCCTCTCGTCTTCTTCCCCACATAACTTCGACTAGTCAATAAAGTCAGTTAGTACCCGATTAATTATGGAGTAGAAGCAGATCACCTACCTCACCGCACATCCATACCAAACACAGTAGATGGGGAATCGGACGAGTGCAAAATGCAACAAGGGAAAAGAAAGGCAAAGATCAAAGTAAAAAAAGAAGGCGAAAGTTACCCCGCCCCGCTTTAAAAAAAATGAAACAAATCTGATAGATCAGATCAATATTCGTCAACTTGTATCACCTTACTACGAAATATCTATACTAGTTAGTTAGTTGCGCTCGGGAGAAGAATCCCGGAAGGAAAAGCGGCAGGCAGACAGGCAGGCAGGCAACCTGCATAACGGGACGGAGTATAGTAAATAACTAGTAAGTGTAAAGTACTGAGAGATAAGGTTATTTAAAGCGCGGATATGTTACTTACTTGAGGACTGAGGTAACTAGGAAGGAAAGAATTAGTAATGTATGAGCAGATCAATGAGGTAGGGCTCCGACAGGTTACGTAGGATAGAAGATACTTAGATGATATTATATACCTTTGTTATGTATGAAGTACTTATGTACTACCGGGGTTTCTGTGACGAAATGGTTTTCTTCCTTTTATCTCCGGATGGTGGGTATGTATGTATGGTGTTTCTTACTCGAGAGGACTTACGATGATTATATTATTATGTTAAAGGAAGAGAGAGACTTAGATATGATACTAACTGTGTTATATTTTTTTACTAAGGAAGGTGCAACAATTGGAGTGAACTGAACAGAGAACAATAGCAGATAGCAAAGCAGCAAAGGATAACGAATAAGAAAAGGGTATATGAAGATACACCTAAGGAAAGAAGCAAGCAAGCAAACAAGCAAGCACAAACTACCTCACACTGAATAGACACTAACACTAACTCAATTCAACTCAACTCACTGACTTGAATTAGCAAACTAAACTACCTTTTTTTGATCCGCAATGAAAGAAGGAATGAATGAGGAATAGGGACATGTTCAGGTCAATCGTATCGTTAAGTATGTACGTATTCACAGCAAATCGGGAAAGTAAAGAAAAAACCATAACAAAATAAAGGTAAAAAGGAAAAATAAACGGTCTCGTCATACTCCATACATGACATGATGAACTTTGAAAAATGACTTTCATTGACTATTCGGTATCCAGTGCCGTTAAAATAATGCTTTTTGAGTGTGGTATGTGTAAAAGGGATGACTGTCCTGAACTGACTATTGGTGATGTATCAAACCAGTTCAGTTGTGGGGGTATGTGGTTGGAAGGTAGGTGCTGTTGATTGATTTATCTCCGGTTGCCGCCAACACGGAAACCGCCGCCACGGCCGTTACCACGGCCGCCACCACGGCTACCACCACGGCTGCCACCACGACCGGGGCGACCACGCATGGGCATGCGCTTTTGAATGCGTCCGGCGCCGCTGGGACCGTGAGTCTTGGGCATGCCTAGGCCACGACGGCCAGGGCCGGGCCGGGAGGCAGGGCCAGAGGCGTTGTTGTCGTTGTCATCGTCCACGTCCATATCGTCACCGCCCTTCTTCTTCTGGGACTGGGCCATCTTGAGCTTACCACGTTGGCCGCGACGGACGGCGTCGGGACCGCTGACGGCTTGCACGTAGGCGTTGATGCCGCTCTCTCCAGCGTTGTTGTCCAGGCCAGCGGACATGTCAACATCCTCGTCATCATCGCCAAGGATGAGACGGCCGTCGGAATCGACCTTCGCGTTGCGCTTCTTCCGGGAACCGGGGCCAGTGTTGAGGAAGCGGACACTAGGCTTGGTGGTGGAAATGTTGGCCAGGGCATCGGGGGCGAGAAGGTCGAGAGGGTTGTCTTCGGGGGACATTTCACGAATGTACTGCTCGCTCTGCTTGTTGGACCGCTTGCCCTTGCGGCCCTTGAGCGCATGAGTGACACCCTCCTCATCGACGTCAATCTCACTGGCGTCGTCGTCAGAGTCGAGGTCGGAGTCGTAGACGGCCTTGTCGAAGGCGTTGCTGTAGGACCGGCCGCTCTTCTCTTCTTGTCCGGCGGGCTCATCATTCTCCTCATCGTCCTCGCCATCCTGCTCGGCGTTCTTCTTCTTCTTGCGTCTCTCGCGCAGCTTCCGGATGTTGACCACCAGCTTCCGGTCGGCCTCACCAACCAGCTCCTCGATAGGAGCGGCACCGAAGCGTCGGATAAGGCGATCAAGGATACCCTTTACCTTGCTGCGGAGACGACCCTTGTGCTCCTTGCTCCAGACCATCAGGTTGGGAACAAGGGAGCTGAGGCGCGCACGGAGATCTTCATCGGGAAGAACAACCACGGCGACCTTGACAAAGCCGAGCACAGACCGGACAATCTCGCGGTTGTTGCTGGTGAGGAACAACTCCACGGTCTGGACCAAGTCGGACCGGACAGTAGGTTGGATCTGGGTGTGGAAATCGAAGAACAACCGAGACAGAGCTGTGACGGAGGCAGCAACCATGTGCGGCGAGCTACCCGCCAGACCGGCAGATACCATGGTGAAGAACTCCTCAATAGTGGCGGGAGCATCAGGGGCATCATTAGGCATGTGCGGCACCAGGGAGTTGCGGATCTTAGTGCCGGCAGGGTTCTTCTCTTCGTCGGTAGTTCTCTTTGCCAGGTGGATGAGCAGGTCGAACGAGGCTGTCCGAGCCTTCTCATTGCTCTCCTTGCAGCCCAAGACAACTTCCGAGAGAACGGATGGAATGAAGTGCAGGTCGGAGGTCGGCAAGTAGGTGATGAGTTCGTAAATCGCCAGCATACGATCCCGACGAGCAGATGCAGGAGTCTTATCCGCCGTGCCCAGGATGAGCGCCTGCAGCTCCGAACTGCGCTCTTGAAGCGCGGCGCTTCCAGTCTCTGTCTGGGCCAAACGGGGGATCAGCTTGTATGCCTTCTTGATCAGCTGTTGATCACCAGTCTGTCCGTTAAGGATAGCCGCAGCTATGCCAAACAGATTTGCGAAGCTGGTGCGGGGCAGGTAAATCGACATAGCAATAACCAGGTCGATCAAAGTGTGCGACGTAGGTGGCATCTTGTCGCCAGAACCAGTCTGCTGATTGCCCTGCTTGGCTGCTTCAGTCTCTGAAACCACGGAGGACTCCAACATCGAAGTGACACGTTCAAACGTCTCGTTCAGCTCCTGTAGAAGATATATTAGCAAGTCAAAAATTCAAATATTGGCGATGAGAACCAACCTTCTCAGGGGCAATGCTCAGATAAGCATTGATACATTGGAGAATGTAGCCTCTGTAGTGTGGGAGAGTTTGGCTGTAGACGTTGAACAGAACCGCCAACAAGTTGCTGGCAAAACCGGCAAGATGAGCAACGTTCTTTTCCGCTGCCTTCTTGGTAATCCTACGCTGGAGGATCAGATCATCCTCGTTCGCCTCAAGGGACAAGATGGCCTGGTTCGACTCCACCAGATTCTGCAAAGCTCTGCAAATGTCAACACGCAGGTCGGTCTGCTTGTAGAGGACGTTGGAAAGGAGCTCCGCAAAGCCCTGATCGAAAGACTCAGTCAAATCCAGAGGAAGCTCACAGTAGCCCGGAAGGATAGCCCACGTCTGCTGAACGAGAGTTTCGAAGATCTTGACTTCAACGGCCTTCTCCCTGGCGCTGAACTCCATGACCTTCTGGTACAAAGCTTCACTAAGAGGGACGAACTCAGATCGGAAATGGGCAAGGTCGGTGTTGGTGACGTTGTCGCGGAGAACCGGGAGGAGCCACACGCGACCAGGCTGGCCATTCTTCTGCTCAATGATATTCAAGGGCAGAATCTCCAGGACTGCAGCAGGGCCCATGGCCTCAATGGCGCTACCAAGAACGTTGTCCGCCTCCTTCTTTCCCTGGAAAGACTCGTTGCTGCGGAGCTCTCCGACCGTCTTGACAATATCATCCAAGAAAGGGCTAGAGCGCCACTTGAAGCTGTCGAACAGAGCCGCACACACGTTGAACACTTCCCGCCATGCTGCCTGGTACTTGACGGAAAGCAGATCCATAGCAGCCTTGGCAATCTTCTCGAGCGTCTTCTCATCGTAGACAGAGGGCTCAACGATAACGCTGTTGGGTATGCAGTTGGCCAGGAACGAGACCAAGCATTCAGATGCCGACACACGGATGTTGCTGGAGGGCGAGGCCAAATAGCCGGAAACCATGTTGAACAAAGCGGGCAGCTTCTCAAACGTATCCTCGGGGCTGGTCTGAGCAGAGACATCGTAACCACGGGACAACACGGCAATCCACGGCGGCAGGAGCTGCGAATCGTTCTGGGCGGGCTTCAAGTCCGTGATCGCCTCCAGGAGACGGGGCAGCTTCGAGGACGAAAACTCATCGGCCATGCTGGAGAAGATCACCTCGAACACCTCAAAAGCACCCATCGTGATGAATTCGTTCGTGGACCGGGAAGCGTTCATCAAGAGCTCGCACAGCGGCTCAATCTTCTTGCTGGGCCAACCATCGGATGCGACCGCGAGCGTCTTCACCAGTTGCAGGGAGTGGATGACCAGGGGGTCGTGGGTGTCCCGGCCGCTGGAATCATGGCGACCGCGCTTAGACTTGGCTGCAGCCGTGATGCTGTCACTCAACGTGCGCATAGCAGTCTCCGCACACATATCGGCCGCCGGGTGGTCGAGGGAAGGACTTGGAGGAGGCGACTTGAGCACCTTGACCAACGCGTCCTGGGCACGCTTCCGCACCTTGGGACGGTGATCGACGGCCAGACTCAGCAGGCCAGCGATCGCACGGCGCGGGCCGATCTGTGTGTGAGGAAGGTTCCAGGCTGCAACATCCTGGGCGACCAAGAGGGACTCGAGACATCCGATGGAGGGACGAAGAAGCGGGGCATCAACCTCTGGCAGGGAAAGGGCAGGGGCGAGACCGGTGAGAATCTGAGAGAACTTGGCGCGGAGAATCGAGGCAGGGACATAAGCGGTAGTGAGATCGAGTAGATAAACGACGGAGGTTGCCAAATCCTTGTTGACGATGCCTTGAGTAGCGGAGATCGACTGGGACAAAAGCGCAAGCAGCGCAGCAAAATAGGCGGTGGGAGAAAAGTCGGCCTTTTGATCGCGAAGAGTGTCTTCCACTGCAGAAAGCACCACAGCCGTCTAAAAAGGAGGAGGAGGAGGATCGTCAGTAAAACCATGGTGAGATAAGAAGGAATCTAGTGAGGCCTCGAATTGGGGTGGGCTGGAAGACTCCGCGGGATGAGGATTCAACGGGGACTTACATGGTGCTGGTTCTGCAGCTTGGGAGACTTGATCTTCTCAAGCTTCTCCGCCAGGGTCGCCATGATGGGACGATCAACCGACGGGCCGTTGAGAAGTAGATCCAGAAACCTGGGAAGTAGTAAGGGAGGAGGGAGAGGAGGGAAGAAGTGGTGGATGCGGAGATTTTTTTTGTGGTCCGGCTGGATCTTTTTGGGCGGATGAAAAAAAGGTACGGCGCTTTCTTGGCGGCGCTCTATCGATAAACCCCCGATAACACCAGTCAACCACTATATCCACGTCTCTTTTTCCACCCATCAGCTCAATAATCTACTATTAAATGGATTTCCGTAGGTGTAGTCAATGTCTCACTCAATTGGTCCAATTCGGAGAAGATATAGCATAAGAAAATATAAGGAAATAATACTATAGAACAGCGTAATCAGACATGACAATCGTCAAGCGTAGCCTCCACCCATACAATCACACACGCCTTGATCAGACTCTCTTTCTGCTGGAGACAAGCTGGAATCTACTCCGAAGCCGTCCAAGCATCCGTTATGTCGACTATCCTCCAGTCTTGTTGTGCGCTCCCACAGGCTTTCCGGTGGAGCTCCTCCTCTTCCTTTCCCTCACTCTCTCACAGTCTCTTTCCTATCGCACACCTCCTCACAGCAGATCCTTCGCCTCCGCCGCCACTCTATTGAGCCACGATACCACCTGACTCTGGCGAACGGTCCCGGAGGGCAATTCAAACGGACCAAGTGTCAACTGATGCCTTGAGGCCGCATAGCCCATCACACATCAACCAAATGTCTTGTGTCGCGTCGCTTTACGATTCCCTAATTGGGACGCGACAAATCTAGCACGGATGTAGGAAAGGGAGAAAGACTGAAGCAGACATCGTGTCTAAAACAGTATCTCTCCGCTATGCTCCGGCTCAAAGCCCAGCGTCTGTAGCTTCCCATGGCGCTTCTTGTCGCCAACTTTCCGGGCTCCGTCTTCCTTCTTCTTCAGCTCAAACACTTCCTGGACCGACGCGCGCTGGATATGAGGAGGGATGTCATCTTCTTTGTCAAGATCCTGTAACCCGGAAAAGCAAGACACATTAATTAGCCAACCTCCGGCCCTAGACATGAATAGCGAAGAAGACACATGGGAGTTTCACGTACAATTTCACCAAGAAGCAAGACATTCTCACCCCGAACGAGAAATATACCGCGCGGGATATCGGCGTAGAGGTTGCCAGCATATAGACGTTCAATGGTATCCTGAAGGACGAGGTTTGCTGCAGCAGTCACATAGCAAGGGTCGCATGGTCAGATATATATCCTTCATCAAGAGATGTTGATCATGTAGCGCATACCGAACTGATCCCAGCTTCTCAGAACTCCGATCAACTTCCGCCCGTCTCGAAGGACTAGAACTAGCTTCTCTGAAGACCATTGTTAGGTTGGGTTTTCGATTTCAATAATGACATGAGCCCACGGGGGTCAAGTAAAGTAGTATAACGTACTATCAGTCAAATCCAACAGCTGGGCAGCGGTGGTGAACATCTGCGGCGGTAATTGCGGGGGACCTTGCGACATGGGTCCGAGCGTGTTGTTCTGCGGGGGGAAACCCTGCGGCGCATTGCCATGGTGGGCACCGGCCGGGTTCTCATTCATTGGAAGGCGTTCCATGTTTGATTCAGAAGCGGGCTTAAAGCCAAAGGTGGGTGTATATGGAAAGACAGGTAGCCATTGCATTGCTGCTGCGGCCGATCGAAGGAAGTCAGTGACGGGTTGGTGGGTGTTTGTTCTGTTTGTTTCGCTGCTCAATCAATGGATCGCAGGGACAGACTCCACAAGTTTCCTCAACTGTCAATAATCTTGGTTGCGGTAATTGCTAGAAAGGGATGAGACACTATGTGATAATTTTTCTGGTGATATACTTATGAGTTAGGGCAACGTGTATCACGGCTCCTCCTTTTGTGGACAATACCTATGGTGGAATACCGGTGATGATGGCAGTACTACTTAGTATATAGTGTCTCGGCTCACGATCACACTGGATCCCGACAGATGATAAGATGATTCTATTATATCATTGAATTGAGTGCAAATTTCTTGCAGGTCAGAGGAGTATCTATACTAAATCTACAGTCTAGCTGGGTCCCGGCCAGGCAGGAACGATGCGATTGGCAATCACGATGCTACCTTCCTGCCGCTTCTAAGCAACCTAGTATATATTGTTAGTACTCATGGATTCTGCCTTCTACTTAGCTGCTAAGAGGTGAAAATCAGGTAAGAAACATCTCTCAAAAGTATAACTATCAATTGCTATTGAAGACATTCGAACGCAGCATTCCACCATAGTCCAAGGTACCCCTCACGATACCAAATTGGTTGCTTTTTGAGGCCATCGCTGATAATACACGACTCGGTAAAACTTATAAACGACATGACAGAAGAGAACATAGCAATGAGCTTAGATGAGACAAGATGAAGAACTGCAGCTAATCACAGCCAATCAAGCGACGCTAACCCCTCGACGCTGACTCCGCATTCTCTCCTCGCGTCGCCGACTATACGGAGCACAGTAGGGCTCATCGGAAGAGCCGATGCTTGCACGAACTGGTTCCTGCGATTGATGGTACGCAGGGCTCGAAGGTGGCGGCGGGAGTTGCATCACTTTAAATTGATCTACGCTGATGATCCTCAGGCCATACAGGTACTGCATCAATTCAAAGTCAGGCCGACTGCCGGCCAGAGTCTGGCCCTGCTGATAGTGGACCACGTCGACGTGGTCAAGCATTGCATCCCATGCCCTTGATTCAGCGGTATCGGTAAACCGTTCCCCAGGACACAGGGGACAGCGCGCTGTCTTGGGAGGTTCGTGTGTGCGAAAGTGGCTGAAGACATGAATTCTCCAGTCCTCGGCATTGTCAAACGTGATGTGACAGTCAAGGAGATGGAACAGACAGATATAAGTATAGGGGGTGGTGCGATGATCAGTGTGAGCTGGGACGATGAGGGCCCCGGTCCCATCATCCTCGAGGATCTCATGACCTGCGAGACCGGATGCCCATCTCGTGTCCAAGGATGCGCTTGACGAGGACGCAGGCGTCGAGGCAGTGTCGTTCGATAAGGAGGGGACAGCTGTTGACGGGGGCATTTTCGTTTCCTCAAGACGACGCCTTCAACCTGGCTCTATGGAACTAGAGCTTGCTCTTTCTTCTCTCTTTCCTTAGAGGGTTGAGATTTCAAAGGCGCGCGCAGCTGGAATTATACCGAAGTTCCTGATAAACCGCCGAGGCACGCCAGAAGCGCCCCGAGATGGGCAACAACGAAAGAGCGATCCCGTTCGAGAAAGTGGTCGAGAAGAGTCTGTTTCCCACATGCTTAGTCTGTGTGCAGTTGAAGGAAGACACAAAGCCAGTCATGGCTGTGAAGCTTGTCACCATTCCCCTGCTTAAGAAGCGGGGGAGAAGATGGGGAACGGGAGCGAAGCAAGTATTTCCCCATGATAAGAGAGGCCATTCGTTACCTTCGTTTATTTTTTGTATGATCTCCAATTTTATCAAGGCATTCCAGACATAGTCATTCAGCGACGAAGCACCGAAGAATGGACCAGAGCATCACAGCGCGACCAACCTTGCCAGGGAAGAGAAGGTGGAGGGCGGTTCAGCGACGGCCATGGTGGGTTTGAGGCTCCAGAGGGCACATGGCGGGGAAGGGAAAATTAAGGGAAAAGTAGCGATGATGGAACGAAGGATGGAGGATAATTGCAAAGAGAAGCACAAGGAGGGGGGAATCCCGGAAAAGCCCGTCAACGGTGATTAGTCGCTTCGGTGAGCAGTCAAATTTCAACAAACCAGAATCAATTAGACTACGACCTACTACTACCTATCTAGTGGACTGGCAGCCAGCAAAGCCCATCCAGCCCTGTCCGGGTTATGTGGAGAGAGAGAGAGAGAGAGAGAGAGAGAGAGAGAGATGTGCGAATACCATTCCGTGGATAAGACCAGCGACATGCCTCCACGACATCCACCACCCGCTTGCTTGGCTTGTTTGCTTTTTCCCCTACCTTTCCTTACTCTCTTCTCTTCAACTTGCATTCAAACTGACATATTTAGTAACATTCGCAACATAGCAAACTCACTGACTGACTGACCACTCGGAACAGTTCACCAACTTCCCTCCCCCATCAGCACTGTCTTTCTACCTTGAGTCTATCATTCTATGATCGGGGATCATGGATGAAAAATGAACCGATGGCATCATTTTACTCTGTGCTGTATCTATCTAATTTCTATCTGACGCAATCCCAGTAAAGTAGTTCAGGCAGCCCATTCATCAACACCCCCACAAATATCCCTGCATCGGACCACGCCGATAGCCAAAGGAAGGAAGATCTATCTATCACATCTATTACTGATGTATACAGTAAATACATACCAGCGTGCAAAAAAAAAATAGACCCCGAACTCAATCAGTCCCTATGACTTGCGGATATCTATCTATCTATCTATCTATCTACCTAGAATCCCTGATCAGCCGAAAAGTTCATAAGTAGTAGCTGAGAAGCTAAGATAAACGTGAGAGAAGGGGCTGGTTGCTGACCCTCCAGGGGAGAGAGAGAGAGGACTGATCATGCGGGACGACTCTACTCGAGAAAATGATGACCTGACTGACTGACGATCGGCGTCTATTCTATCCTGAGACAAGACACACCCACACACACCCACACACAGTGGGAGAGATTTTTATTTATTCATATTACTCAATACGTACATAACTACTGTACGTGCCGACTCCGACTCCCGGGGGTAGTATGGTCATGGTTTGGTCTTGCCGTCATTTTTAATTTATTTTATCTATCCACAGTAGTATAGTGTATCGTGGGGGTGGACTCGTTCCAAATATTTCTTACCTATGTTGTGTAGATTTGATTGGCTACTGGGTGGGAATTTATTACATAGTAGATGATCCATGATAGTGGTACTAAGTATGTTCCAATTAAAGGCTTATTTAGAATTTTTTAGGGTGACTTCCCTCTCATCCTGCTCGAGGTCTATAATCACATGATTTTGAATGGGAATGTTCTTCTTCGAACCAAGTGTGGTGTGTTTCGACACATGAATTTAATATGAAAAAGGGTCTGATGCCTCAGAAGAGAAGAGAGAGAAGAAAATAGGGAACACAAGAGCTGATGAGCAATTTCGCTTGGTATAGGTTTAGTGGAGAGAGAAGGAGATGTTTCAGAGGAAGTTTGTGGGGGAAGGTAAGAAAGAAAGTATTTGATGAAAAAGGCAAGGAGGATCAGAAGAGGGGACACAAAAAGAACAAATTCACAGGATATCCCGTCCATCTATCAGTAGAGACGCCTTGCAACAAAAAAAAAAAGTAATAGGAGGAAAAAACAATGAGAAAGATAATCCAACAGAAAAGCTGAGGAAAGAAAAACCACCCAATCACCCGACACCAATGATGCCCATGAACCTTTGTAAATGCACAAGTCTATTCGGTCGTAGCGCGCATAAGAGAACTGCTGATTTTTTTGAACCCAATTTTTACACAAACCAACGTGTGGCTGAAGAATGTTCGAACTTAAAAACGTTCGGCCAGGTCACCACCGGCAACGGAATTCGCGGTCGACGATGTGACCGACGAGAATCCACTACCAGGATTCAACATATCCTGAACGGCGACTTTCGGCACCTGAGGGACTGGCAGCTTGCGCTGTGTTCCGTCCGGTTTAGACATGATGTCCGAGATGCTGGGACCATGGTGACCTTGGGAAGGACTGTAGTAGTTGGGCCCTTCCGGTTGTGGTTCCATCGGAGCAAGAGCTGGTGTGTGGTGGAGCGACAGATGACGGATAGACGGCAAATGCAGATCGCTGGAGCCCAGGGGTCTCAACCGCGGTGAGTGAGCGGGAGTCGCCAAGGGAGTGTGATCGGGAGTGGGTGAAAGGGAGTCGTGGGAGAAGGTGGGAGAGGAAGGAGCAGTCGAGTTGGGAGAGTTGGGTCTTGAACGTTTCACACGGTGCGAGTAACCGTCGTCGTCTTCATGTGAATGCGACCGGCTCATGTTGTGTGTGATCGCGTAAGCAGACAAAGAGGGCAGACGGCCACTTCCGTGGTGGCGCGAGCTGAACAGATGGTGATTGCGTGGCCCTGCATGGAAGCTGAAGTGTTCGTCGCGTTCCACCTGCGACGCAGCCGTCGCCAGGAGGTTAATGTCCATGCCCGACGATGCCCGTTCGCTATTGCGAGCATACGGGCCCAAGTTCGACCGCATGTGACTGGCGTAGTTGGAGAAGGAGTGAGGGGGAGAAATGTCGGGGGAGCCGACCTGCGACACGGGGGCTGACCGGGTCATTGGCTTGCTGGGAGGAGGCATCATAGCGCTGGCGGTGTTGGCCATGGCGTTGTCCTGCCCTGCAGCTGCTGCAGCGGCCGCGGCCAGATGCTGAGCCTTGTTGCTGCGCCTCGAATTAGGGTTGTTGTGGATTCGCGAGTGGCGCGTAAGCTCATCAGAACGACTGAAGCGCTTAGTGCAGCCGGGGAATTGGCAGGCGTGCGGCTTTTCACCCGTATGCGTGCGAATATGTCTTGTCTGGTGCTCCAGACGGTGGAACGCGCGATCGCAGAGGGGGCACTTGTAAGGGCGGGGAAGATCCTGACGCACTTCTTCGGTCGCAGGCCGGGCACCCTTCATGAGCGGCGGAAGTAGGCTGACGGACGACGCCATGTTGGAGTTCGACTGTGTACTGGACGGAGTAGAAGGAGTTTTGGAGCTGTCCACAGGGGTGGAAGGGGTGGAATCAGTGGAATTGCTTTGAGGGTTCAGCAGATTTGAAAAATCTACTGAAGAGGCCGGTGGCGGCATGTGAAGCTTGTCCCAAGACCGACGAGAGTAGAAAGGTAGGACAGAGCCGGGTTTAAAAAGGACACGTTCGGAAGGGATGAGAAGCCGAGGCGATAGTGATGCACGTCGCGACCAGGGGTAGCTATATCGGCCAGTCGATCACCACCCGCTAGCACCCCAGACCTAACCTTGGCAAGGAGAGATGATAGGAGGAAGACCGCAAGGGTAGTGAGGATCACAGGGCCCTGATGACGAACCAGGGCGAAGCGGTATTCAATTGTAAATTCAACCAAGGGCTGATAACGACGAATTCCCTTTCAATTATTGAAGGGATACGGAATGTGTGGTAGTTATGATAAGTGTTGGGTGAAGCCGGAATCGGAAATGGACCCCGGAGGTGGATGAGTAGCGAGCCGGACAAGGGTGATGTTGAGCAAATGGTCTCGAAAAGAGGAGGGAGAAAGAAAACCTGGAGAAGATGATCTGGGGAGATGAATATATAAGAAGAGAAGAAATCGGGAAGGGCGAAAAGATGAGGAATGGAGGGGAAGAAGAAGGAAACGGAATTCGGGGGAGGGGAGGGAAAAGAGGGCGACTCGTAGAGGGGGTGGGTTATCGGAATCGGAGAGCAGAATGGGAACGCGAAGGAAAAAAAAAAAAAAGAAAAAAAGAAAATTGAAAAATTAAAAAAAAGATGGATAAAAAAAATCGATGAAAAGGGAAATATGATTAAAATAAAAAAAAGGGAAAATAAAAAATCGAAAAAAGAAAAAGACTATGTACTTTGTGTGGGGATAAATATCGGGGGGGCAAAAAAAGCAGGAAAGGGAAAAAGAACGTGCTTGAACCAGATCGGCTGCTTTGCTTCTTGGGGCTTCAAACCGGTCAGTCAGCTTTCCTAGTCAGATGGAACGCAATGCTTTGTCGTTATCATTTCATGCTCTTCTTATCCTTTTTATAATTACTTGCCTGGATATATGATGTTATGATCACTTGGTATCTACCGCTTTTATACTCAGTACATGAGTTCTTTGAAGAATATATGGATATACTCTCTTTGAAGTCCTTGAATTGCCAAACGGGTGTCTCCATCAGTTGCCTATCTCGGGGCTTCTTCCGTCTGGTTTTCGGGCCACGCACGGTGTGTTAGAAAAATTTCACTATTACTGACCGGGAAGAGAGGGTGTCAAAACAGGTAAGGCGTGTTAAGAAAAAAAAAAAAAGAATGTGGGGCGGACTAGAGTCAAGAGGGATTACGGAGTAGAAACTGGAACTGCAGAAGTGGCTGTGTGGTCTGGAGAAGTGCGTGCCCCGTATTGTTGGGTGTCGGTAAGGTAAAGCTGTAAGGCCCCGGGAGGGTCTCTGGGGTTGTTGGTTATGTGTACGCACAGTATTGGGGTTTTGGTTGGTGGTATAGGTGGTGGTGGTGGTAGTAGTAAGTAATGGTAAGAAACCCTATCACGAACACGAACATCAGCAGCAGCAACCCGGTCTCAGACTTCGCACCGGCTATCGCGGATGATCTGGACAATCCTTCTCGATAGGCGACCGCGTAGATACCTTAGTTTCCCCATCGGTGTCGGTATGATGTTCACTCCGGTGGTGACCAAGCGCGGTTGATTACGCGATTTGTCTCGCCGGTCGGATAATGCGAGGCAGGAGGTAGGCATTTTCCAAGAATCATCATCATCCATGTGATAGCTACCCTACTTTAACTTGATTGTTCATGCTCACTAGCCATCGATCATTTGCACGGGAGGAATCCGAATCATCATGATCACCAGTGGGGGTGGTGAAGTTATCTAGGCGGTAGGTAATTATGGTGTATTGATCTCGACCGAAAGCGTGATACGGTCAAGCGGAGATGGAAGATCGATTCAATTCCTCCATCTATCCACTACTACTACTACTGCTACTCTAGAAGGGGGGTGTGCGGCAGGCGCACACGAAACGAATCCCTAGAATGATGCCATTTTGATGATTGTCGATGATGGAGGTATGAGGTGATGATGTGCCTGCGGATGCAAGACTCATTTCTGGTTATGGTTTATAATTTGCTCAATTTTCTCTTTTCTTCTTTGATTATTTATTTTTCGTGGTTTGTTTTTATTTTTTATTTTTCTGGCCCTCCTACGTGCGTATGTATTTCCCCAACCTGTCTGGGGCATTACCGGGGAAAGAATTTGTTCGACGAGATCTTCGAGACCGCCCAGTCCAGACCAGCTGATCGACCATCATTCAGCAATGGTTGGGTACTGAGAGAAGTAGATAACCAGCAGGGGAGATGAACTCACATCGAATGAGAGTTCCCAAGTGACTCGAGGTGACGGGAGCGGTGATCATAGACAGTGCAAAGCGAAGGACCTGGTAGGGCAGACCGTTGCGCTGAACCAAGAGTCATACGATGGGCGAGATCCAATACATCATCATCCCCATGGGACGAGTTATCTACTCCTATTCCTTCTAACCTAGTTTTTGTGTAGATACCTCCGACTCTGTACCTAAATGAGGCTGCTGACGGAAACCACTGGATGGACTGGAGCACACGAAAAAGAGCCGGGATGACGTCCAGCCTGTTGCGGGTGAGGGCAGACTGACCGCAGTCGGGGGGTTCAACTTTGTGGGGAAAGGACAGCATTGCATCAGCCTCATGACTCAGACGAATCATTGGCTCCGCCAACAACAACACTTCCCTTCAAGGGGGGGCGAGGCGCAAGACGAGGCGAAACTCTCAGCTGGGCTTGCATTCGGATAACAAACTGTACCCCAAGAACACGACGATGACTCGACCGTGTCATCTCTGGATGGCATCCCTCCGCGGCTAGGCAAAGCTACGTGGGAATGGCCAGCTAAGAAGGTACCTGCCTAAGTATGTAGGTACCAGGTATGTATCAAGGACAACTCGGGAGGGATTACTGTTGGCACCACGATCGCATAATAACACCGGCTTTTAGACCCGTAATCCCGAATAGATTTCCATTCCTATTTAACCGGTCTTGCTAGGAACCCCCCTTTCAAGCGCCCGTAGAGTTATTCAGCATTAGTGTATAACTACCGAGAAGAATCATTTCCCCCCTCAAATGCAACCCCCTGGACTAGCGCTTAACTAGAATCTTCACCACTTCAGAGGACGCGCCGCCCTGCATTGTGTTTCATCAGTGTCAGGCACCCACATCTCCGTCAAGAGAAACAACATGGGGTCGCCAAACCAAAAAAAAAGGGGGGGGGGGTAATGTGAGACCGTAACTATGTGGGAGGGAACGAGGGCTCCGGTAAGCTCGGAAATTGAACTCCGCAATATCCCCAGGTCCACAACAATAGCTCTCTCTATCTGCGCCCGGAATGTACTATTCCCTCCCCAGACAGGTAGTCCACCACCTCCGGTACTATCCACGCAGCTACTACTAGATATCTACGTATAGTATGGCTCTTTTCAGGATCAGATGGGGAAATCTCCATGCGGAGATTTTGCCACCGGCTGTGGAGTCTGTACATATTAAATTAATCGACCGATGACATTGTTCGCTGAATTGCACGGTGCTATCTAACCGGGGCAAGAAAAGGCCCAGGCGTCATCGGGATAAAGAAAGATACGGTCTCGGCAAGTCCAGCCAGCCAAGGGCTTCACGGACAGCCCTTCACGCGCTCGCCATCGCTTCTAGGCTTAAACTAGGACTCCATGTCCGTAAGTGGGTGGTATAATGTGCTCTCATATTTTTGTTTTATTTTCTAATGAAATTCCTCCTTTTGGGGTCTTGCGGCATCCTTATCTACGGGCACGCAAGGGTCATAGGGATAGATTGTATGCCACAGGTGGTGAATGACAACATACATATCAGTAGTGGTGGACTAGTGGATTTGCATTCGAGGAAGCTCTCTAAAAGTGCGACTAGATACTTACTACTCTGTACACTATATGAAATATCCGAGCTGGGAATACTGTTCCAAAGGAGAGTCGAAGGAAGCGGGAAATATGCATCAAGCCGTCAGAACAGGCCGCTTAGTGGCAGATCAGATCACAGGCACTCAACCCTCCCACCCCGAGGGGTCCGCGCCGACCGGGGACTAGTACTAGTAGTAGTAGTAGTAGATTCAGCAAGATGGATGGATAGATAGATAGTAGATACCAGCTTGCTCCATTCTTGGAATTGAAATGTGCTTTAGTCTGCGGAGTCAAGTATGGGAAATCAAGGTTCCGGCTAGGCATTGTCATCGGATAAGATGCAGCAGGGTCATGTATCCGGGCTTGGGTGTGTGTAACACATGCCACCTCCATGGACCTCCTCCAGCCCACATTGTTGTCACCCGCGAGAATCGAGGGTGATGCGATGCTGTTATCTCGAACCCTGACCAAGGGGGAGGAACCCGACGGATGAAACCCCCACCAGGGCGATATCGTGGTTTTGTTACCAGCTCTGATAGGCTAGACCCGGCTGACGGCCCTTCTTTGCGATCAGCGGATATCGGATCGTGACCTTGAATGGTTCGTTTGTTTGGAGCCTGGAGAGTTTCCCCGGCACAGCGGGATCAGAGAGGAAGGCGTCGCGACCTGGCCGATCACCAGAAATGAAAGGAGGGGGAAAGTGACTAATAAGATTCTTCAGATAAGAAGAAAAAAACAAAAGTACTACTACCACTACGAGACTACGACACAGTAGTATACACGCAGGAAGATACACAAGTGATCATTGATTGAGCAGGTGCCGCCCGCTGCAGATACCAGAAGGTGGCATGGGACATGTTCTCTCTCTCCGCCTAGAATTTGTGAGGGGATCCGGCCGTCATCCCCGCAGACACCTGAGTATCTACAATACACACACACACACACACACACACACACTATACTCCAACTTTCTTGGTAGGCCTGGCTCGTTTCCTTATCTATACTGTATGATAATTGTGTATTGCACAAATTTTCTTTTGTGGGGTGGGGACCTCCTGTCTGGTCGAACATCTCTCACTACATGGACACCTGGTGCCGGACCGATTGCCGGCACTTTGCCGGTCAGTGAATTAATTAATCCCAAAGAAGGGGGCGCCCAGCAATCACCCCACCATCTCTCCAGACTTGGGATGGTGGGACAAATGGGGAAAGAGAGGAATGAGGTTGGCACGCAGGTACCGCTGCCCTGTACGTAACCACCCCAACTAGCCGGAGCCACGTACGTTTCTCATAGCATTATTATTGTTATTATCATTACTACTACTAATATTATTATGATTCCGGATAAGGAGGGGAAGAGGGTAACAACCTTTTCATTTGTTCGGATACCACCTACCACACACTCACTGCCTGGTCGTGATGGAAATAGCATCCCTCCTTGCCGTTTGATTGGGGGTTCGGATTATTCCCTCAAATCCTGACCAGCCTGGCATGGCACCACCCCATCCACAACAAAGGGGACCTTTCAGTTTTACCCCGATGTGGCACTGTGGTGGCTGTACTAACCTTTCTATCCCCGGCGCCTCCCAAGACAGAATGTATCTGCCTGTGGTTATACTATTTTATTATTATCCTTAAGAAGCTGTCACGGGCCAACTATTTTGAGTGTTGGTAATATTTGGCAACCAACAACACCAGCCATGATTTAGCGCCGATGTATGGCTGAGCATTGAGCCGTTGCGCTTAGTAGTAGTTGGTTGTTTGTGCCAGGGAAAAAGGCTTCTTCTATCTCTCGGTCTTTCCAGTCTCCTCGCATCCGCTCTGCATGCAGCCCCAACGCACTATTGAATCAGACTGACGCTGATCATGGTGCGACAACCCTGACCCCATAGATAGTCTAGAAGGGGGAGGATCCATTCTAGAGGACCCCGTAGAATCCCCGGGGCTTGGGTTATCAGCAGAACGAGCATGTAAACCTGTATCTCAGTGGCAATCCATTTTTGAGTTCCCTTTACCCCGTTTGCCCATCCTTTGCAAAGTAGTATTGTTCATTGTCTCCTCCGCTTTTTCGACTCCGAAAGACGGAAGATCTTCCCCGCGATCAACGCAGCCGGGGATCGACACTCAGATTTGGCCAGGCCTCTAACCGCAAAGGGCCATCCCTGTGTCTAAGTCCGGTCACTGGCTCGGCTTCACGGCGCCATGATATGCTCTGAATTACTCTTTTAGGAGGGAGTACGACGCGGATCTACCCTAGCCAAGCCTAACTGACCACTCGGTTGCAGATAACCCTCTCTGACCTCGTCCCGTCTGCAGTTACTTAGTTGTTCTTGATGAGAAGTCTGCGAGTCACGAGTCACTACCACGGTAACTACCGGCGGCAACCGTCTCCGCAAACCCAAGAAATGGGAGTACGTAGAAACAAAAAGTCAATGAGAATGAAGAAGCAGGGATTGAAACGAAAAATGACCCCCCACTGTCCGTCACCTTCAGAGAGGATCAAGCGTAAGCGCCAATATCCTAGAAGCCGTTTATCCGCCAAAGGATTGCGTTTCGCAGGAACTGTTCTCTGTTACAGTTACTGCTTAATTGCTTAGAGGGGAATTGTGTGCTCCGTAATGACCCGCCAGTAGTTTGACGAAACCCCACTGTGAGATAATAATTTGCTTCATCTTTTACCAACCACAAACTCATCCACCAACAGTATAGCGCCTAGCGATCCGATAGGCGATGGTCTATCCCACGGCCCCCAGCAGAAAATGATCGATGCATTCATTCATTCAGTTGGACTTGGGATCATCCGCTAGTCTGGTGCGGAGTACGGAGTATATCTCTACCAGAGCAGATTGTCTCCGGACAATGAAAATTCGTTACTAAATACTAGCATCATGATCAACTTTCATCACACATTCTTTACTGGATTTTCCACCTTTGGTTACATGGTGATTGACAACACCACTTCCCCTCATATGAGACGGATGTTCGGGGCCCTGCATTGAGCCAAGTCCAGAACATCGCCCAGACGGGATCATCTAGTTGTACCTTTCTGAGAGGGCGAGTGTGAGGCCTCTCATTGATCACGATGCTTTCCCTGACCTGATGTTGCCTGATCTGTTGATGTGGGGTTATCGTATGGTGTCAGACAATCGACCCACGTATGCACACCGGCTTTCCTTTTGTTGCACGAAAGGAATCAAAAAAATCAGAAAAATCCCTTTTTTTTTTTTTTTGTTATCTGAACCCCTCATCACCTAATCCAGTCTGACAGCTTGACAACACATAGAAACCACCTCTACTTGTGAGTGAAACACAGGGAAAAATACCATGGGATAACCTGGAATCCTGCATACCCGCCGAAATGCTACGCTTTGATTCCCAATTCCCTGCCCACTAGTCTAGTCGCCGAGGGGCCGCCTGAAGAAAGGAAGCGCAGCAATTACATGTGAGCGCATGGGCCGCAGAAAATAGAAAGACAAATTCGAGACTTAGGCTGCGCAGCCTGTCAGTCTTAGTCTGCCTTGCCGTGCGGATCGTAAATGTTTCACGAGGAGTACTCGTACTACCACCAAACACTGGGGGAACCAACCAGAAGGAAGCTCCAAGCTTAAGAGGCAGATCTTATTATCAATATCGATGATACATTGCATGCGTTGCCTTCTACTGATTACTATTTTCTTCTTCTTCTTTCTTCCTTATGATCACACCAATCACTCATCAGTCACCTCGTTCACTTTCTGGGTTCTGAACTCTGGTTTCCCCGTCAATGGCCGGTCGGGCGTCCGGTTGCATGCAATGTGGGAATTACACCGCTTGTATGAAAATTTGATTACGTCTCAAGAAAATACTCCCCAGAGGCCGAGAAAAGGGAATCCTACTAAACTATCCACTGATCTCCGCAGGAAGGGGCAAAACTTTTCAGCCATTCATGCTCTGATGCGATGGAAATAAGGGAATAATATCCACGGCAACCAACCCCCAAGTCATGACGTGTAGAGACAGGAATGTTAGCAATGATACTACGTACTTACCATCTTGGACAGTTCTGATTTCGTCAATCCCCCAGTTGGGTAAGCCGCCGGGTAGATCTTTGTCACCATACTGATGTACCCGAGAGAGCCCTAAAAGGACCAACCACACAGTGGAGTTGTGCCCTGGGCGTTTTCAGGGCTCAAGAGAGATAAGGCAACGAGTCACCCGAGCACGAAGGTAAGGTATGCAGATGGTTGCAACTTCTTTCTTTTTCAGATGACCATAGATAGCCAAGAAAAGATAGCATGCTAGGATATCACTTCCTACCACTTACTGCTTGCTCACCACCACAACACTTCTGAAGGCGACATCAGAATGCTTGGCGGCTATGTGCGGGGGTGGAGGGAGAACTCTGGGGAATCTCCAGATTGAACTATCGCTCATGATCATTCGCTCTACCAAGAACCCAGCAATTTACGACCTCTTGGCCAATGAAAATCCCCGTCAGCAGAAAAAGAAACTGATAATTAATTAGTTACTAGTACTAGTAGCATGAAGGGTGGATGCTAATCAATCTACCAAGTGTGGTGTGCATGAAATGCTTATCAGGCAAACTGAGATGATCTAGTGTAACACGGAGCTGGGAAAGAGGGTGTAGTGGGAGAGGAGCTGCCTAGCTAGCTATCTTGCTAGGTCCGGCGTGCTGGTGGGTTGGTGTGTATCACCGTGACCATACGACGGGCACCGATTGCGGTCGAGGTGCAAATCCCACGGCCCAACCGGTCTTAACCACACGCACCCAAGGAAGGCGCGCGCCCCCCTCCCCACAAGGCGCCAAGTTCAGCGATCCGGGGATCCACAAGCTTCTGGAACGGGGCGTTTCGACCAATCATATCATAGGGGCTGTATCACGGTGATATCGCCGATTCACAGGCTTCACAGCCGCTGCCCCCAGGTTATGCGGGGCCGCGCTTCCGGAATCCGGACGCTTCTACTTTAGTAAAGACGGTACCGGCCATGTTACTGTATGGAGGGTATGTGTCGTATTGGGTTGGTGGTGTGGTTGAAAAATTCTTGCTTCCTTGCTGTCATTGGTCGTGAAGGGAGAATGTGAGTTGCTCTCTTATCTGACAGCATTTGCTGCGATGGAATTCCTACTATTACTCCGTCTACAACATCACCGATCCCATTAACAGGGAAAAAGAAAAACAGGGACAAGGACAGGGACAGATAGCGCGCGGGTAATGGCAATCCAATCCCCCAAGGTCCTTCAACTTCCCTTACGGGACCATATTTTGCGGCCGCGTAGTAGGGGTCGCGGTCTTTACTTTACCGGAGTATAGCCAGTGGCCAAATATTGTATGGAGTTGGAATTTACCCCGAAGTTATCCCTCCTCAGGGAACCAACGAACCGCTATCCGCTAAACCCAACACTAACCTTATGTTGTTTTCCTCCCCCCTTGTTCTCCCGAATCACACCATCCAGCCCGTTTCTGCACGAATG